TTCTCGGTTACGCAATCCTCGAGGAGAGGTTACGGATACGCGTTCTCGGCTTATTTGGAGCGGCTCTTCGTCGCCTCATCGCGAGTTTTTCTCGGACGTTTTCACGCGCGTGTAATCAGCCGAGATCGATTACTCGACCTCCTTGGCGATCGATTTCGACCGCGGCGTTCGTCCGACTCGTACCTGCCCGATCTTCAATTTTGTTATTAATTTATTTCCGACTCGTACCTGCCCGTTCTTCAATTTTGTTATTAATTTATTTCAATGGGTTTACAATTTTTCTAGATTAATTTTTCCCCCCCTCGATTCCTCATTTTCAGGGATAAATTTCATAATTTTCCTCCCGTGAGCTGCCATGTCCTGAAGCTGCGGCCCACCTGCGGGCATTTTGCAAAACGCGTTTTCCCCGGACGTTTTTACATACGTGTAATCAGCCGAGATCGATTACTCGACCTCCTTGGCGATCGATTTCGACCGCGGCGTACATTCGACTCAAATTTGCATTTCTCGATTTTGTTATTGATTTATTTAAATGGATTTGCAATTTTTCTAGATTAATTTTTCCCCCTCGGTTCCTCATTTTCGAGGATAAATTTCATAATTTTCCTCCCGTGACCTGCCACGTCCTGAAGCTGCGGCCCACCTGCGGGTATTTTGCAAAACGCGTTTTCCCCGGAGGTTTTCACGCGCGTGTAATCAACCGAGATCGATTACTCGACCTCCTTGGCGATCGATTTCGACCGCGGCGTACATTCGACTCAAATTTGCATTTCTCGATTTTGTTATTGATTTATTTAAATGGATTTGCAATTTTTCTAGATTAATTTTTCCCCCTCGGTTCCTCATTTTCGAGGATAAATTTCATAATTTTCCTCCCGTGACCTGCCACGTCCTGAAGCTGCGGCCCACCTGCGGGTATTTTGCAAAACGCGTTTTCCCCGGAGGTTTTCACGCGCGTGTAATCAACCGAGATCGATTACTCGACCTCCTTGGTGATCGATTTCGATTGCGGCGTTCGTCCGACTTGTACCTCTCGTTCTTTAATTTTTTAATCATTTATTTCAATGGGTTTACAATTTTTCTAGATTAATTCGCCCCCGCTCGATTTCTCATTTTCGAGGATTAATTTCATAATTTTCCTCCCGCGAGCTGCCACGCCCTGAAGCTGCGGCTCACCTGCGGGCATTTTGCAAAATGCGTTTTTCCCGGACGTTTTCACGCACGTCTAATCAGCCGAGATCGATTACTCGACCTCCTTGGCGATCAATTTCGATTGCGGTGTTCGTCCGACTTGTACCTCTCGTTCTTCAATTTTTTAATCATTTATTTCAATGGGTTTACAATTTTTCTAGATTAATTCCCCCCCTGGATTTCTCATTTTCGGGGATTAATTTCGTAATTTTCCTCCCGCGAGCTGCCACGCCCTGAAGCTGCGGCCCACCTGCGGGCATTTTGCAAAACGCCTCTCTGACTAACGCGCGTGTGTGCACGGGTTACGTGGTCACCTGCGCGGACAGGTATTGCGGGCGACGCGTTTCTTACGCACCCGGGTTACGCGTTTCACCCGCCTGGAAGCTCGGCGGAATTCGAGAGTCCCCCGGTGATTTATTTTGCTCTCTTTGCCTCGCCCTCTCTCCTTTTCGCTTCCAGGCGGTTTGCGAGACGGCCGAGATTTGTTCTCCCGAGATTGATCTCGTGATGACCGGAAGTGGCGGTTTCCGCGGGAGACTTTCCGATCTCGGATTTAGGGTTACGCGTGGAGATGCGGAAAAATGGGGGTAAACTGGGAAACTGGGGGGTCCTTCGGCGGAACGGTAGCGGAGGGAAGGATAATTTAGCTACGTTTACGGCCGAGATTAACGACGGTGCAGTAATCGGGAGTTGCGCATTGCCGAGAGATATTACGACCGGTAATGAGGATAGTACTCGACACGGGGCACCGCTTAGAGGAGGCCCCCCCGCGAAGGTGCACCTGAGCCTTTATTCCGGTCCTCTATTTTTCTTTCTTTTTTTTTCCTTTTTTTTTTCCTTCCCTCTTTATTCCCCTATTCCTCCGCCGTGGGAATGGCCTAGGGAGTTTCGCAACCGGCGCGTGTCGCCGCGTTTGCGACTTCGGCGACTCCTTTTGCACCCCCTTCTGCGACAAGGAGGGCATCCCCTCGACCGGAAGTCACCGTATCTTAACCCCTTGTATTACGATTTAAATTCCAATTGCGCGTGCCATATACAACAAAACGTGTCGGTCATACATCGGGTCATTTCACGGTTTGGATGAACGTTCAAAGTCTCACACGTATCTCATACGCTTTTTTTACGTTTGGCCCGATTGATATACCACGTCTCTCACACGTTTTGTTCACGTTTGGCCCGATTGATATACCACGTCTCTCACGCGATATTGTTAGTTAAGGGGTTACACCACTTTGGCCCACTCAAAAATTACGGTTTTTCGAGAATTTTTTTTTTTAAGAATTAAAACGTTTTCATCCAAATTAAAGTACAGTAAGGTATTATACTACTATTAAACTCGCTCACTGCGAAAAACGCTGATCATGCGGTGGGCAGGTGTATAGGTGTAAACGCGTTTTTCTTAAAACCGCATTTTAAAAATCGGTGGGCACTCTAGCTCCGCCAATTTTCAATCGGTCGTCTTGATTCTTTTTTTATTTCATTCGTGATATCTTTATCTAGCGAAGTACGTATGGTTTTTTCAATGTATAGATATTCGCGTTTTTTATGCAACATTAATTAACGAAATTCAGGACAAAAAACGTATCTTTCCTTTCAAATCGATGCCATTTTGTGAAAAATGCATATTTTTGAAAACGCTAGCTTTTGGGCCGCAGAAACTAATTCTTTTTCGTTTATTGTTCTAACTTAAACCTGGACTGAGTTATCGTGCCCACCGCACGATCATCGATCTTCGCAGCGTTCCGATAAATCGCCTTTCAAGCCGGCATTTTGATAAATAAAAAAAATTCAAAAAAATATTTCATTGTTTAATAGTAGTATAATACCTTACTGTACTTTAATTTGGATAAAAACGTTTTAACTCTTAAAAAAAAAAATTCTCGAAAAACCGTAACTTTTGGGTGCGTCAAAGTGGTGCAACCCCTTAAGGGGTTAATAGTCCCGTTCGTGAGAAGCGCCATTTCCGCGAGCTCGTTCCGGAAGGAGGGTGGAGGAGAAAAAAAAAGAGAAAAAAAAAACCGCCTGGGCAATTTCCCCTAAACGGTCGCCGGTCTATGTCGAAGTCAATGGGGCACTTGCCGGTTTGGAAGTCATGGGGGGGGCAAAATCGTCAGTAATTGGGCGGCTCTCTGTGAAGTGAGCCCGGGTTCCCTCGGGTACCTACTCCTGCCGGTCTCGGTGTGGCCGATTTAACGAGAGGATTCCCGGTAGCTGGTTATTACCCCTCAGAATGTGAATAAACACGTGATTCCTCCGATCGGGCACCGTCACTTCGCGGAGAGAGAGATATTGCCGGATTCCCGAAAGGAATCGGCCGGGCAATGATCGTCAGGAAGGGAAGGAAAAAGAAGAAAGAAGAAGGGGAGAAAGTGGACCGGCGATTAGGCAAGATCGAGTGTGAGAAAGAGAAGGATCGGCGATCGATCGGTGGATTTCGCGCTCTCGAAGGGGGGAGCTTCTCCGCGGCGGGTTTCGGGAGCGGATTTCGCTTGCGCGAGTGTCTAGGCACACTCGAGCGAGTGGCAGCTTCCAGGAGATCGTTTGTCCCGAGATAATTCGCGAGAGAGGCTGGATTAGCGCCAAGGACTTCCCACGGGCCTGGGCCCGGTCGTTCCGCGCCGTTTTGGCCGGAGGATTTGCGCGGGAGTCCATTTCTCTGCGGTCTCGCTTTCACCGCGCCCACCTTCGTCCGCGCCGGGTCCGGTCGATTTTGGCCGGACTTCCGGCGCCGGACGACCGGGGAGCCGGTTTGCGAAATGAAACGAGGGGAGGGAATGGAAGAAAAAAAGGGGGAAAAAAAAGAAAACGAACGAACGGCCACTGCGAAACAATGGCAAATCCTTCGGCGCTGAATCACCGGTGGAGAAATAACAAACACGCTCGGCGAGGGGGAATTGGCAATGACAATTGCGGAGCGGGCACGCGCGAGTACGCGCCGAGTACGCGTCGGGCGAATTTTTCGAAAGGTTCCTTTCCCTCGGACTGGTTGCACCAGAACCGCCCGGGGCCCTCGTCCCCGTGATCGATGCACTACTTATCCCGGGGCGAGAGTTATCCCGATCGGCAAAGGGGCGCGTCCACCGGAGGACCCGAGGGGACTCGCCGGTTCCCCTGGAGAACGACTCCTGGGAACCGGGAGTTGAGCCAGGTCGCGGTTTCCGTCCCTGAAGGAGATCCTCGAGGAGGCGGAAGCTGCTCGAGATCGCCCTCCCCTCTCCGGGCTTCCCCGACCCTGAAGAGCATCCCGAAGAGATATTCTCGACCGGTGACGCAACCGCGGATCGTTATCCGCGAGTCGCGCGCGAGCGAGAGGAGAGAGAGAGAGGGAGAGGAAACCCACGGTGATTCATCTCAGCTTCTCCTCCGAATGCCTCTCGTTCCTGCCCTGGTCCTCTTCAGGGTTCGATCCTCGTTCCTCCAGCAGAATGCTGCGAAAAAAAAAGAGATTCGGAGCCGAGAGAGGGAGCAACGGGAGATCCACCGACGCGATGTAAAGTAGCGATTAGCATAATCTACCGTCCATGGCGGCGATAAATTATCTCGTTTATCGGCAGACGAGAGAAGGTGCATCGTGGATGCATCGAGATTTTTTTTCTCTTTTTTTTCTTGTGAAGAATCTATCGTGGATGAGCGGAGACTCGCGCGGCGGCGTCTCGCCTGTGCGCGCGTCGAAGTCCCCGCGTTGAAGTCACCGACGCGTCGAGCGGCTCCCGAGCGAGATGGAAAAATGGGAAAAAATTCGCTCGCGGTGGATTTGAGGTGGTCTATTGGTCGTTTCGGGCTGGGGGAGTGCAGAAGGGGTCCCGTGGGTCGATCGGTGGGACTCTTCCGTATCGGATCGTGGGGCTGGTTCCCCCTCGATCGAGGTTTCTCGCAAGTGGTCCAGATTCCGGAGCGCGCGTGCCCCACCCTGCAGCCTCTCGAGAGACCCCCTTCTTCGTGGGGCACTCGGCAGGGCACCGGGCAGGACGGTTTCGTGTGCCGTCCACTTTTCACCTCGGGGAGGGTCTCACCTGCGAGGGGGATACCACCGCACTTGAAGAGCGCACGTCATTCTTACGACGGCCCAGTAAGAATCGCGCGTCGAAACGCGCAACAAGAGCCGATCTCTCTCGCCGGGGCGTCCCGCGAATCGTCCTCTCTGTTCGATCTCGTGCCTCTTGAAACCGCCGAATCTCCTAGGAAGACACTTCGAGACGTTTAGAAAATTTGATAGGACATTTTTTTCCGACTTATTTTTACTTTTTCTTGATCCTTAGATTTGAGTTTGAGGGTTTTTCATCTCCTCGGGAGTGGCTCGGTCGGTTGGATTTGATTCCATGAATTCGGGGCGTCCTCCTCGGCGTCGATGAGCGAGTCTTGAGAGGGACTCTGGGGCTCCCGAGGGAAGCACTCGCTCGACCGGAAGTGGGAACGGAAGTCCCGATGGCGACCACCTTTCGCGGTGTCGCCCTCCTCTGCGCCGTGGCGCTCGTCTCGGGTGAGTTTTCCCCAGGCGTTTGTCGCCCTTCTCCCGCAACTTCGTATTCCAGGAGAAGACGCTCCTAGGGAATCGACGCCGCGAACTCGGATGACGCGGTTTCATTTTTTTTCTTTTTTTTTTCCCCAGGCCTTTGATGAAGAGGTCCGGCGACGTTCAAGGACCGCGCGCCGTATCGGGCCCGCGGCGCGTCCTTTGCGATCAAATTGCGCCATCGGTGCGGTGAAACCGGAGCGGTCGCTTCTTAACAAGGATCGTACCGATGGTCTTGACTTTTATCTCCTTAACGTCCTCTGCCAAACCCCCGCCGGTTTTTCCTCACGACTCCTTTTGCGGGAGGGAGGTTTTCCGAGGATCGCGTCCACCCCTTTTATCGGCGTCCCTGATAAGCGTCGCCTGTTTGCGTACACGCACTATTCCCCTCGGCGATCTTTTACTCCGCGTGTTATGCGTCTCACGGACGCGCGTAATTGCACGTCTCTTGTAGCACTTTAACCGAGAATTATTATTAATAATTCTCTCGCGAGGGTCGGCTGTTCATCTCTCTCCCTCTCCTTGTGAGGGGTCCACCGAGCGAGAGGGAAACTGACAAGCTTACGCGCCTATGCAAACAACTATTATAGAATCGGTTGCATCGCCGTCTCGGGGATTGCGTAACGAGCGGTTTCATCCTCGGAGGAGATCTTCCCAGGAAATTCGGCCCGTGGAGATGACGTCGCTCGACCTCTGACATCGCCGTGACAAATGCGAAACGTGCCCCTCTAGATGACAGATGATAACAAGGATCGTCATCGCGATTAACTATATATATATGTATATTTATTTTGGTTCATCTCGCGTTTCCTGTTTTTCAGCGTGCCAGCAGGAGACCACCTCTCCAGGGCGGGAGGTCCTCTGCTACACCTCGAGGAACAACCCGAAGCTGCTCGACGGCGTTCTCTGCAAGTGCACCACCCTCGTGCACCTGGGCCACTATCTCCACAACCTGACCAGCTCCGGTGAGACCTAGTGAATCTTCTCGTAGGAGATGTGCCACCCGAAGTGCACCTTTTCCTCGGCGATGCCGCGACGTCGATTCTTTCGCCCCTCGGGGGTTGTCGACGAGTCCAGGGGAGCTCCATCCCTAGTAGCACAAAATATTTGCCCTATATTTTCTATATATTTAACGAATATCCTATATGTTGTAAATATTTACCAGACATTTGGAATATTTGCCTAAGGTTTACTTTAGATTATTATCTCTGAAATATTTATATAATATTACCTCCATGTGTTTTCATAATATTTCTCTACCAGATATACGAAACATTTCGTTTCATTTTAATATACAAGTTTTTTGTTTTCGATATTATCCGCCGAATACATTATAAACGTTTTAAAAGTATATAAAATTAAAATCACAGGTTTCGCTGTCATAATGATATAGCGGAACGAAAATATTAGAAAAATTCGTCCGGTAATAGTCGTGAAGTAAACAATGTATTTTTATTATGTTAATAAGTTAAAAAATATTTCTCTATATGTTTTTAATTATTGAAACTAAATGTGTCATAGAGATTTTCAAGAAATATTTCAAGTATCTTCAATCTACAGGAAATCTTAAAAAATCTGTCGCTTGAGATAATTAGCAAAGATTACAAAGAAATATTTGGAATTTATTCTATACTACTAGGGATTCTGATACGCGTTTTCTTTTTTTCTCTCCGAGAAGGAAGTCAACGATTACTGCCTATTTTGGCTTAAATGCGACCCGGTGTATTACCATCGATCTTGAATTTCGAGCCGCGGAAATCCGGTTCTCCTTCTGGCGTAATGATCGATCTTGATCGAGCGAGCGGAGAAAGCGAGGCGTTCCCAAAATTGGCGCGCGCCTCGTGGGCGTCGAGTCGCGCGGATTAATTGAACGATCGCATTAATTTTTCTTTTTTTTTTTTCCCTCCTACTTTCGGGTTAATCGATTTTCCCTGTCTCGAGAACGAAGGAAGGTGGGGATTATTTTATTGGCAAATTGTTCTTTTTTTTTATTTCATGCGATTTTTGATCAGCGATTCGATTTAATAAGGACGCCTCGCGATCTCGCCCCGATTTCGCAATACGTCCTCCATAGTGCTTTTCCGACCTCGAAGGAAGGTGGGGATTATTTTATTGCCAAATTATTCTTTTTTTTGTTTCATGCGATTTTTCATCGGCGATTCGATTTAATAAGGACGCCTCGCGATCTCGCCCCGATTTCGCAATACGTCCTCCATAGTGCTTTTCCGACCTCGAAGGAAGGTGCGGATACTTTTATTGGCAAATTCTTTTTTTGGTTTCGTGCGATTTTTGATCGGCGATTCGATTTAATAAGGACGCCTCGCGATCTCGCCCCGATTTCACAACACGTCCTCCGGAGTGCTTTTCCGACCTCGAGCTCGGATTATTCGGGTCACCACCAACATCCTTTATGGCGCCTCGACGTCGGCGATGGGGAATATATTTATCCGCTCCTCTCCGGAGATCTTTTTCTACCTTATTCGATCGGACCGAATAGACACCCGCCGCGACCTCGGTTCAATTTTCGGATTTCAGGCCTCGCGATCGCCGAATTAAGGCGAAGTAAAACACGTCGAGGAACTTGATCGACGTCGATAAAGAAGATTTTTCTAAATGCCTACGTCGCCGACGTTCGTTGTTATATTGACGGCTTTCGCTTTTCATATCAGAGCCTTCGATAATTGTATATTTATCGAAATATGAGAGCTCGACGCCATTTTGGTTCTGGCCTGGGCTGAGTTAAAAAATTAAAAAAAAGAAATTCAATTTTTGAATGTGTCAGGACAATTCTTAGAGTTACCAACGACGAAAGTAATTCTCGCTAATAGTATTTCCGCGACCGTTTAACGCTAACTACCGTCATTGGGAGCTAATCACCGCCCCTTCTAATTACCCCACGATTACCGGCCAACCTTTCATGCGTAATCCCAAAGCTACGCGTCCATTGTCAATACAGCTGTCAATATAAATACGAATGTCGGCAACGTAGGCATTTAGAAAAATCTCCTTTATCGACGTCCATCAAGTTCCTCGACGTGTTTCACATCACCTTAATGAGGCGCCGTTAAGTATAGACGAGATGTCCTAGCTCCTTTATGGACCAAGGTGCTCGCCTTCGAGTGATCGTAATTTCTAAGGAGGATCTAGACCCAGATGAGGGAGGGAAACGATCGATCGTCGATTTTTCCTCTTTTCCCTGAAATTCTCTCATTACCTGGGGAGGTAATTGCGAGAAACCAGAGTAGGAAACTCGGTGCCATTTCTTTTTCAGAGGCTCGGCGCATTAGGGAGTCGTCCAAGGAGGTGAATCCGGTTCTCCAGGTGGTGCTTCTGGTCAACGATCCCGAAGCAGTCCTGCAGCAGAGCGGAAATGCCCGCCAGGAGGCGGCGGCTCGCCTGGCGAACGTCCTCGCCGAGGTGGGTCCAGATCCTTTTCCACCGGGAGGAAGCCCTCGGAAAATGGGGGATGAAATTCAGTCCGCTAGGAACCCTCGCGAGATAAGGGCGATCGAAGGCTAAGGATCCTTGGACCCGCGGGACCAGGTCCTGAGAGGTCCCGAAGAGGTCCTGGTCCAAAGGACACTCGCGAGGGCTGATCGCGGAGGGGCGTAGGGAGAGGTCCAGGATGAAAGCGCCTTCCTCGAGGCCGGACACGTTCTCCGGTGACTGGCCCACTTTTTCCGCATTTTCCTTCCTCATTTCCCCCCCCCCTGGAACTTTCTTCCGTACGAAGTGCACGGCGACCTTCTCTAACGATCTCCTTCTTCCGGGTGTCCCTAACGATCTCCCGTCCGAGGCACTTTCATCCCAGGATAAGTGGTCGTTCCTTTAATGGAAAGGAATGCAATCTAATGTACGAATCGATCGGTCCAGGTCGACGGGGTGGAGCTCGAGGTCGCGGCAGGATCCAAGGAGCGGCTAGGAAGTTTCGTCAAGACCCTGAGGGACGAGCTGGTGCGGAAGGACCAAGAGAAGAGGATCCTCCTGAGGCTGCCGACGAGGGCCGAGGACCTCGCCAAGCAGTTCGACCTCAAGACCCTCTCCAAGTAATTTCAGAATTAATTCTCCGATCCGATTTTATTCCTCGTCGACTCGAGGATATCCTCGCAAGGAGGTCTGAGATAGAAAAGGAATGGCGGATCCTCCGGAGGAGGATACATCCTTGTACTCGTTGCGGACGTCGAGTGGCGTCGTCGCGGCCATCATCCGGCGTAATTAGTTAAACGCAGTCATTGAGGGTAACCTGGCGTAACGAGTAGTAAGTGACCAAGATCGAACCACCTCTTCTGAATATGGATGAGTCCTGGACGAGGTGACGCCTCTCGAGGGCAATCCTCCACTCCTCAGGATGATGGAACCGCGGTTTAATTTGAATCGGGCGCAAGGTCTTCGAAGGGGAACTACGAGGAAAAGGAGGAGAGGACGCTTTAACCCTTTCTTCTCTTAGGTACGTGGACCTCTTCACGTTGCCCACCCACCACCTGGTTGGACGGAATGCGGACTTCCGGACCTACCATCCATCCAGGTTGATGGGATTGTTCGACATGCTGAACACGGACAGCTTGGTGGACCTTGTCGAAGGCCTCGGCGCCCCCCAGAGGAAGATCCTCGTCTCTTTGCCGGCGAGGGCCCTCAAGTTCGCCCTGAAGAACGCCGAGGACAACGTCCCGAGGTCGGCGACCCTGCAGAAGAAGCCGACTCCCGTGGATCGCGCTCAGGTGGGTCCTTTTTCGGCCCTGGCCGATCCTTCGGGTCCTTTTTATCAAAGGCGAGGAGTAAAAGAGTATTCCCTTTAGCTCTGCTCTATTCTGAGACAAGGCGAATGGACCGTGGAGAGGGACGAGGACCTGACTGCCCCCTACGCCTTCAGGAACACTTCCTGGATCGCCTTCGAGGACAGGATCTCCGCTGGAATCAAGGTCTCGGATCTTTCTCCTCGAGATAATTCCCTCCGTCACCTCGGGACTATTTCACATTTTCCTCCTGCATTTCAATACTTTTAGGCGAAGTACGTTCTTCTGCGAGATCTTGCTGGCCTCGCGATCCATGATGTTGAAGACGACGTTGACAACGACTGCGGGAAGACCATCACCGAGGAGGTACACGGGGCATTCTCCACCATGAAGAGGAAATCACGCCAGGCTGTCTTGTCCTCGCTGGAGGATGATATTCAGGTAGTGATTAGGACATTGATAAGGCACGAGGTGCGATACGGGATGTACTTACCTGCGGTCGGTATCGTCGGCTCCCGCTTTCTTCTAGATCGCTTACATCGACAGAACGCTCCATCTATCTTTTCACAGCTCACCTGTGCAGGTGAAGTCTGCAGACAAGACGCTCCATCTATTTTACAGTTCATCTGTGCAGGTGAAGCCTGCAGACAAGACGCTCCATCTATCTTTTCGCAGCTCACCTGTGCAGGTGAAGTCTGCAGACAAGACGCTCCATCTATCTTTTCGCAGCTCACCTGTGCAGGTGAAGCCTGCAGACAAGACGCTCCATCTATCTTTTCGCAGCTCACCTGTGCAGGTGAAGCCTGCAGACAAGACGCTCCATCTATCTTTTCGCAGCTCACCTGTGCAGGTGAAGCCTGCAGACAAGACGCTCCATCTATCCTTTCACAGCTCACCTGTGCAGGTGAAGCCTGCAGACGGTACAGAGTACTCGAAGGGAAATGATCTAATTTGGGGAAAAAGTTTCTCCCTAGATCATTTTTAGGAACTAATAGGGATTTCCTTTGCGCTTACTTTCAGGGCTCCGAGCTCTCCTATCCTGGAGCCGTCAAGTCCTCGGACTTCAGGATCTCCCGCGTGGTCGATACGGAAGGGAACATCCAGGCTGTGCGAGAGAACACTCAGACCGAATTTGCATGTCCGAAGCAGGGCTACTTCGTCCACCCGAAGAGCTGCAACAGGTGTCCACGAACTATACCGTGTTTTTAAATCCTTTTAATAATGATATGCAGTCGAATGGAATCCTTTGACGGCGTCGTCCTTTCAGGTTCTATCGCTGCGTGAAGTTCAACCAGGAAGTCGAGGACTATTCGGTCTTCGAATTCGATTGTCCGGCTGGTTTGGCGTTCGACGAGATCACGGAGGTCTGCGTATGGCCAGGATCTCTTCCCGAAGGATCCCCGTGTCCCGGGAGCAGTGAAATAGCTCCTTCGACGAAGGAGAGCTTCAAGTGTCCTGGCCAAGCCGGCTACTACGCGGATCCCAATAATTGCAGATGGTTCTACGCATGCGTGGACCTCGGTACCAATTGCTTCTTGTATTACATGGCATTAATTTCAGTACCTTGAGGTTATGGTAATTTTTTTTTTTTAATTTTTTGTGTACAGGCGGTGGCGAGTTCTCGGCATACGAATTCCGATGTCCGTATGGATTGGTCTTTGATGAGCAGAAATTGGTCTGCGAATGGCCGTGGTTGGTGCCGAATTGCGCATCTCCTGAGTACCAGGGTCATGGGTCATCTTCAGGATCTGCAGGGACTGGGGGATCGGGATATTACGGTGGATCCGGAGGGCAGGATCAGAATGGATTTGGGGGATCCAATTATCCAGGGTCAGGGTATGATCAGAATGGTGGAGTCGGCTACGGTCAAGATGGACTCGGTGGATCTAATTATCCTGGAGCAGGATACGATAATTCCGGACTCGTCGGGTCGAATTATCCCTCGGGGTCGGGCACCCCAGGACATCCTGGCTCTGGATATCCAGGACTCACAGGACAGGAGTATCCAGGCTCCGGAGAGGACCACTCGGGCGGATCGTACCCTGGGCCTGGATCTGGATATCCTGGAAGTGGTGCGAGTGTTCCAAGGTATCCCAATCAAGGAGGCTTCGATTCTGGGTATCCTGATTCGGGATCGGCGCATCCAGGGTCCTTCGACACGGGGAATCAAATTCCTACAAGTGGTCCAGCCTACGTGGGAGCTGTTGGCGGAGGATTCACCGGAAGTGGACACTCGGGGACGACTTTCGGGGGCTTCGCGACGGGACACTCCGGCGTGGGGAAGACTCAATATCCAGGATCTCCAGGATTCTCCCCGGGAAGTGGGGACACCGGGTTCGGCCAAGGTAGCCAGGCTGGATCTTCGGGCTTCACCGCGAGTACAGGACATTTTGGGACCTCTGCATTCGGCGCGACTTCCGGCGTTCACTCTTCAGGGTCGACATACCAGGGCTCTGCCGGTACTACCTCCGCACACGGCAATTCCGTTTTCCCTGGAGGGAAGACGATTTATCCCCTAGGAGTACCGGGGACCGTTCCAGGAAAGACCTACACCTTCTCTGGAGAGACCTCCGGGACCCAGAACGTCCACACGACCGGGATTTACGGCTCCGGAGACACCTCTTCAGGGTTCGACGGCGCCGTCAAGGGAGGACCCACGATTATTCACAGACCTCCGGCCACGGGCACTTCCGTATATTACGATAATACCGGATCTACCGGAGGTTTTACCGCAGGTGGTGGTACCACTTACCATGGGACTTACGGGAACTCTGGCTTTGGCACTACGGCTGGTACCGCTGGTACCAGTGGCGCCATTTACCCTGGAAAGTCGGTCCACGGTACCATCTCAACGCAGGACTCGACTTCCGGCACTCTGGCGACCCACGGCGACGTTTCCGGGACCGTTTACACCGGTACCACCAACCAGGGTCAGGTGATAACAGGAGCCAGTCGACCTGGCTTTGTGGAAACGTCAGCAGGCACGCCAGGGTACACCATAACCGAGGGGGTCAAGACCGTGTTCGCCGGTTCCTCCACCCCCGGGACCTTGGTGCACGGCCCCACGTCCCCTGGGGTCTTCTTGACCGGAAATACGGCCCCTGGAACCGTTCTGAAAGGAGACGCCAGTCCAGGAGTGGTTCTTACGGGAACCTCTTCCCCTGGAACATACACGGGAGGAGTCGCAGGCACGCCAGGGTACACCATAACCGAGGGGGTCAAGACCGTGTTCGCCGGTTCCTCCACCCCCGGGACCTTGGTGCACAGCCCCTCGTCCCCTGGGGTCTTCTTGACCGGAAATACGGCTCCTGGAACCGTTCTGAAAGGAGACGCCAGTCCAGGAGTGGTTCTTACTGGAACCACTTCCCCTGGAACATACACGGGAGGAGTCGCACACCCTGGAGTTGCCATTAATGGTGCAGCTGGGACCACCGGTGGGTACGGTACCCAGTTCACGGGGGTCCATGGTGGTACCGGTCAGACTCACTTCACCGGGAGTGGAGGGACCTCGATTTACCAAGGCACCTCTTCAGGAACCACGGTCTTCGACGTTTCCAAGACCGGAGGTTACGGGACCACCAGCCACGTCGACACTGGGTACAAAACCAACGAGTATCACGATAACGGAGGTCGCGGTACCATTCGCTATAACAACGGCGACGTCACCAACAAGTTCAGCGAGAACGATCTTCATGATTACAGGTAGGGTACTTTTTTTTTCTCTTTTGTAAGGAGGTTCGGTGGAGGTTTGAGAGTTTCTTCCCTTGATCGCAGAACGTCTCACGTGACGGTGACGGAGTCTGGGACCACCATCGTGGGGATGGGGTCTACAGGATACGCCCTGGTACCGGCGGCTGGTGGAGAATATACCAGGGGAGGGTTCACCAAGACCGGGGCCACGAAGACCGGCATCACGGTGGCACAGCTCGGCGGAAGCGGTGGCTACGTCACCGGGACCGGGGGACCTCGACCTCGGCCGAACCCTGACAACATCGGGGAGAAGGCCTTCGAGGGCAACGTCGGGTACACGGGAGGCTCCACTCCCGGGTTCCAGAACTCCCTGGAAACGGCCACGCCGGTTGTAGGACTGAAGACACCGACGTCGACAGGAGGCGGTGCTCCAGGGGTGACTTATGCTCCAGGAGTGGTTCCGCTCGGTACCGGAACCACAACCGGCACGAAGAGTGCAGGGGTGGTGACCTCGGGCACTGGGTATTCGGGTCCTTCAAGGGTGGATCTGGGCTCCTCGACGGGATATTCATACACCAGACCTGTGGTTCCCCTGGGTACCACCCAGCCCCGGTATCCAACCGGTCCCGGAACCACCGTTCACCAGACTGGATTTTCTGGAACCGGATTTGCAACCTCCACTTCAGGGTCCGTTTCGGAAGCGTCCTCGGGATACTCCGGGCCCACCAGGTTCGAGGGCACCTCGTTTTCGGGGCCTGAGGTGCAGTTAAGTACTGATGGGGAGATCGGGGCGGGGGTCTTCAAGGTGGCGGCTCCCCAGGACACCACCTCGTCGCCTTTCTTGGACGTGCAGGTGTATAACAGGCCTAATTTGGGACCGGCGACGCAGGGTCCTGTCGTTTCGAGTACCTTCGGGTACAGAGAGGGCACCAGTGGGTACCAAGGTACCGGGTACGACGTTTCCGGCGGATCGGGAGTTTCGACAACCTTAAGACCCCTGGTTCCCACCGTCACACCCATCACATATTCCTCGGGGACCCGGAAGACCTACCGGCCCTCCACCCTGATTCCGGGGGGTTCCAACACCGGAGGATATCCGGAAGAGGATCTCCAGAGTGGCGGTCCGACCACTCCGCAACCCGTCCTCAAGATCGACCTCAGCCTCCAACCTGGACCCGGGCAGCAGTCCACCTTGGCACCGGAGGTCCCAGCAAATTCGATAGGAGGCATCACCTACAAGCAACCTTCGGTCGGTATCACCTACAAGCAGTCGACACCTCAACCCTCCACGGTGGCACCTCCGACCGGACCTCAGGGTTATACTTATAGAAAGCCCTCCGTGCCATTCACGACCCCCGCGGGTTATTCCACTCCAGGTCGAGGTCGTCCCACGAATGGCCTCGACACCTCCACGGGTGGAGGTTCGCCGACTGATTTAGTGGCAACGATCCCACGGGACGAGGTGGAGAAACTGATCACGAATTATAACAGAGGAACAGTGAAGTACACTCCGAGTGTGTACGACTTCGGAGGCGACCTAGAGACCAAGTACCCGAAGACGGACGAGGAAGGTCAGACCTTCGGATCCACCTCTACAGGGTATTACTCTACCACTCCTCGGTACCAGGGTACCGGGTACGCTGTGAAGGGAGGCGGTGGATCCTCGGTCACCGCCGACGTCGAGTACACCGGGTCATCAGGGTCGGTCTACAAGGGGGTGCCCTTAGGTGGAGTGACCTACTCGTCCACGACCCCGAAATATTTCGAAAGCGGTGGAACCGACCTGGGCACAGGGTTTGGATTGAAGGAGACCACTTACTCCTCCACTCCAGGGACAAGATACTACGATGCCACGGGGCCATCCTTGGACACCGGGTTCCCCGTGAAACAGACAGGGACTTTTGGTACCGTCTACAAGGAGGCAGGTTTCGGAGGGTACTCCACGACGGGGGCTCCTACGTTCTACCGGACGACCGGCACCCTAGGGGGGAGGGTCTCTTCGTCATCTACGGGGACCGGCACCGACTGCTCGGACTCCTACGTCACCAGCACCCTGTCGCCAATCTCCAGGACCGGGACTCCGGTCGTGACCACGTACTCCGGGGGTTACTCTCTGGGGCCCTCGACGACGCCAACTACCGGCGTGACCCTGAAGAACCTCGGGGGGAAGATCGTCGTGAAGCTGAGCGATCTGCATCCCCTGCTGCTCGGCAAACTCGGGGCCCAGTGCTCGTGCTCGGCCGACCCCTTCGAGGTGATCCGGGACCTCGGCAGGAAGTCCCTGAAGGTGAACTCGTCGAAGGGAGAGGTCGACCTGGCGAACTACGACGAGTCCGACGTGTACGTCGACACGGAGGTCGACCAGGAGAAGTCCTACGAGTCGGACGAGTCGGAGTACACGACGGGGGTGAAATCCCAGGGGACGACGCCGAAGACGCCGGATAGCTCCATCATCAGGGTGGGCACGATTCCCGGACCCTCCACCGTGAGGTCCAGGTCGATCTCTTCGAGGGGTCCCGGTGATTCCTCGCTCTCTGGAGAACTCACTCTAAACGGTCCCGGAAGGAGGTCGAGGAAGGGAAAGCTCCTCGGGGATGGGAATTCAGGGAATCGACTGGACGCCTCCGGGAAACCATTTAATATCGGCAGTCTCCACGTCTTGGGGAGCTCCGAGGAGGACGACAGTGGTCTCCAGGTCGGCGCCGAGTGCGCCAGGCCTGGTCTCTTCAGGCACCCTAGGTACTGCGACAAGTTCTACGTCTGTCACTGGGACGAGAAGAAGAAGGCCTTCTCCTTGAACGTCATGAAGTGCCCGATTCACCTGACCTTCGACAGCGAGGCCGGGGCCTGTAATTGGCCCAGCAAGGGCCCCGTCTGCCAGGACGGCAATCTCCTCGTCTAGGAGTCGCATCCCCCTGGGGAAGATTCGCAGATCTCTCCTGGAACCCACGGAACGGACGCAACACCCTGGAGACGCGCTCTCGGCGCCATCTTAGTTTATCGCCATTATTGGCGATGGAGAACCAATTTGTGTATATACGATTTCCGCTGTCGATCCCTTTCCTCGAGATTTAATTTTACCTTGGAAATGTATAAACAAAACGTAGGGGGGACAGGGTTCATTCCTAAGTCTCGCGAATGCTTTTGCCGATATAATTTATTTAAGTTTATCCCCATAGACCCCATTGCCGAGTTCTCCTGCCAATCGTTCCCGGTACTGCCATGTCGATGAAAAAAAATAGTGAAATTCCGTGTAACGTGCCATCTTTCTCTTAACAATGATTAACGTCTGACAAAATATATAGTGCGTAGCTCTGTGAGGAAGTGAACAATGTCATTTCGGCAAGGGGGAATTCGCCAAGCTCGGCTTGGCGACGAGTCGAGCGCGAAGATACGGAAACGGGAAACGATCGGCGGCTTTCTATCCATTTCTAGACCGCCTTCGTCGTGTCTCTTTCTCTCCTTTTCCTTTTTTCCCTCCTTCTTGACCGATTCTCCTGGACGAAGTCGAGCTCTCTCGGTTCGTTCGGGAGTTTCGATCGACTTGGAGCGGTCGAAAGTTGGGCCCGTTTCCTTTTTCCCTCTGATCCTTCTCTCTTGCTCCTGGAGGCTTTTTCTCGGCGGGTTAGTTTGCTCACCGACTGCGGGGAGGGGCGATAAAAAATCGGAGCGTTTCCAGTGGTTCGGGAGCGTGCCGGGTCTTTGTAGAAAGTGGAGTTCGACGGCCGCGCCTCGGTGAGCAAAACGCTCGCGACCGATAGTAACGGGCGAATTGTCACCGGTAAAAAGGAAATCGACGACGAGGTAGTCGCTCTCGTTGAACGGTTGCCGTTTATTTCCGAGATTAAGGGGGAATCGATCTCTCTGGATTGCCGAAGAACAGGTGGAGGCGCCAAAGTGGGCCGATAAACGGCAGCAAGAGCTCGGCCCACTGACCCCTTTCACGGAGCCCTACTTTTGAGAGGGCCTCCGACTCTGTCAGGATTTTTGGCCGAACGGGGCACGAGACGTGAAAACGCCCGAGGAGAAAGTTCCGGGGAATGGAATTTCACGTAACTTTTGTTAGAGGCGTTTTCCGGTATATCGCCCGGTTCAGTCGGAAAATCGGTTGCGAAAGTCGGCCGATAGCGAGCGCGCTCGACGCCGCTCGGCGGGGGTTAAACGGCCATCGAAACGATTCGAGCTAACGATCGGCATTGCGCCGCCACAATCGGTGACTTTATCTTTCTATTTCCATAATCGGGAAACGAGGGAACCGCGGGCTGGTAGCAGAAACGACCGCCGATTGCGCAAAGGCCCCGCGAAAGGAAAGGGTTCCCGTTCGAGAGAGGAAAGAGAGGAAGAAAGGAGACGGGCCATATCTAGGGCGGTACTTTCACCGGGCCATTTCTTCTTCTCTCTCCTCGCCCCTTCGACTTTCTTTTCTTCTCGTTAAGGTGAAGTGAAACCCCCCCTCAAATCAGTCGATTCGAATAAAACACCTTTTTTTTTTAAGGGTATTGGACCAAATTGTTCGAAACGTTGACACATGACTCGTGATTGTCAAAGAATTGTCCTGACACATTCAAAATTTGGATTAAAAAAAAAAATAGTTAACTTAGCCTGGATCAGAACTAAATGGCGTCGAGCTCTGGTATTTCGATCTATATCCAATTATTGAAGGCTCTGATATGAGAAACGAAAGTGTCAGGACAATTGTACGACAATTTAAAATACTCTGGTAATCGATAAACTTGTATTTGAACGAGATAAAGTCAAAAAAAGTGTTTTATCCGCTTCTATGCCAAAACGATGGTAATACGAGGTCTCGGAGTGAAGATTTAGTTGAAATGAAAATCACAGATGGCGCAGGGTGTCCCTCAGCAGTCAATCAGGGCCTCGGAAATCATGAATCCAGAGGATTTCTGGAGTCTTACTCCGATTTCTTTACAATTATTATACGAAAACGACAGGTGGAGTATGCCATTTAGTACAATACCCAATACAATTCTACCCAGCTATCGATATAAAAACGAAGGTCGTCAACTTAGGTACTTAGATAAATCTTCTTTACCAACGTCGATCAAGTTCCTCTACGTGTTTCACTTCACCTTAATCTCTCGCCTCGATCCGCGGATCCGGGAAGGGCTTTTTATTGGCAAAGGAGATCTATCGATCAATCGAGCCTTTGATTTTTCATCCCCGTTTTCATCTCCTCGGTGACACGCTCTTCGGATGAGAGAGAGAGAGGCGGGACGTTATTAATTTCCAGCTGCGAGTTGGGAAATTCCGGGGCAATAAATTATCCAGGATTTATTAATAGGCGGGACGAAAATAGGAGGGGGGCCGCGGGAGGGGGGATCAATAAATAAAACGAGCCCGGGGCGGCGATCGAAAGGGAACGATCTATTTGCGCGAGTCCCCTTTTCCTCGGCTTGAGGTTTAAGTGGCCAATTGTCGCACTCGGCGATTTGCAATTGTCGCGTTTCAGCTGAAACTACGCAACGAGGCTTGCGCCAATTGCGGGCCTCGAGTTTCTCCGCGGAAATATCTCCCCGGGTTTTCCTTTCTCGCGGCCGAGGGTTTTGGCGGATTTCATTCTCGATACCTTGTTCAGATGAATTGCCAGGATTTTTATTTCCGAATTTTTTTTTTTAATTATCCCTTGTGTGGCGTTTAATGACTTATGACTGGCCGATAAGACGGGCCAGGTCTGCATAAATCTGCATGGCTGACTTGCGACAATTCTTTTAAGGGGTCGATAGGGCGAGATGTGACGCGATGGGTTGTAATTATTTCTTTTTGTCTGTCTTTTTTTTTATTAAATTTTTAGCTGTATAATGTTTGACTGTGGAGGTTTAGAGAAGTCCACGGAGACATGGAAAGACGAGAAGCGGCGATCCGAATCGGTCGCCTTGTTCCTGCCGGTCGAGTCTCCGTGGTGGGACGCAGAAGGAGCGAGAGAGAGGCACTTATGCGGGCCGCGCGAGAGCGAGGGAGACGCCGATAGCGCGAGGTGGGAGTCGCGGTACCGCCAGCGCTCGGAAGTGATATAAAGGCGAGCGAGGGCCCGGCTGAAGTTTGACTCACCTGGACTGACAGCGAACGGCTGACAGCGGGACTGCCAGGGGGTTCCTCGCTGCCACACCACTTCCGAACATCATGTGAGTCCTGACGATCCTTCGAAGCGGCAAATATTGTTTGCGCGACGCCTTCAAAATCGGGGAATTCTATTTCACTCGTCCTGGAGCGAGGCTGAGGAGTCTGTCGAATTTTTTTTCTTTTTCCTTTATTCTTTTTCGAAGTGTTAAGGCGATACGAAAGTGTGATATGTATACATTGAAAGTGAAAATATTCATAATAAGTTTTCAACAAACTGGGTGCGCCAGAATGTCTAAAACCTTCACACGTGATTATGGAGGCTCTAAGGAAGAACGCGAGGCTCGTGAAATTTCATTTTTCGAAAAAAAGAAATATGTATCTTTTTTTCCTTCCCCGGGATAAATGGAAAATTTCTTTTTTACACATTTTTAACATTTTTTAGAAATGACACTTTCATATCATTTGGAGGTTCTGATAACGAGATGCTCGCGGCACTCTTGGAGATATTTTTCATTTTCATGGTCGCGAGGTGCACCGATGTCGGAGTCGCCGCAAGGATCGCATTTCGCATTCTCTCGCGCAATTTCCGCGGTTTTGCATAATTACGCGAGTTACGTAAAGCCCACCTACGTGGGCTTGGAAAGGAATCGGTAAAACCGGCATCGCTCCTCGGGGTAATGTCGAGGTCTTGCTCGCACTCGAGGCGATTACATTCGAAAACCGATTTTTCCTTTCCGCGGTATTGCTCGATAAGACTTATTGCTCGGCGCGGAATTAAGGTGAAGTGAAACCCTCCTCAAAATCAGTCGATTCGAATAAAACACTTTTTTTTTTAGGGTATTGGACCAAACTGTCCGAAACGTTGACGGATTACTACTCAACCTTACCCTTTAAACACAGAGCCATTTCGACATATGGGCGAAATTCGTCTGACCGTGCAGGCAATATTGGGCCAAATGTGGGGCGCCTTTAGGCGCTCTTCGTAACCAAAGGGTTAGAAAAAAAGTGTTTAATTGGAATTAACTGATTTGAGGGGGGTTTCACTTCGCCTTAACCATATGAACACAGAGGCATTTCGACATATGGGCGAAATTCGTCTGCCCGTGCAGGCAATATTGGACCAAACGTCGGGCGTCTTTAGGCGCTCTTAGTAGCCAAAGGGTTAGAAAAAAAAGTGTTTAATTGAAATTAACCGATTTGAGGGGGGTTTCACTTCACCTTAAGCGAGAGCCGATTGCGCCGCAGGACCTCGCCTTGAAACGCAGAAAGTGAAAGGGTGCAGTCCAGGTCCGACGTAATTCCTGTCTGAGAAATGACTTTTACCTTTAAGATATCTTTTTTCCTTATCTCGACGACAGAGATCGAAACGTTCATTTTCCAACGGGATATCTAATCGTTCTCGACTTTTCTCGCTTTTCAATCGATCTTTTTTTTGTCTGCTTTAGTCGACCCGGAATCGAGGGCGCGTCCAGTCGATTCGACTCTCGCCGGGAAGTAGAAAGCGGAATGGCTCGATCGTGCGTGGATCGAGAGATCGGCTCTCCTCTCTTTTTTAAATCCCCTTTCTTCCCTTCCGCGACCGCGTTACCTCCTTCCGGGACGCCAAGGATCGCTCAATCGAGGTTATGAAAGGGGTTTAGAAATTTAATCGACGTCGATAAAGTAAAATTCATCCATACCCTTTTTTGTGGGGATGCCGTTTTGAATACTCAAGTGGGAACATAAGCTGGCGCGTCCCGTTACCGACATTTATATTTATGTTCAAGTCTTTTGCGGTCTACGTTGAGAATTATACGAACTGAAGGGTTCTATATGTCGTTTCGGGAAAGTAATGATAAAAAGATCGATGTAAAACTGCCGAAATCCCATGAATTCGTGACTATTTATATTCTGACGAACCGACGTCGCCATCTGTGACGTCAGTCGGTCCATTTTCGATCTGTAGGAATCGACTGATTTGAGGGGGTTTCACTTCATCTTAATTGAGGGAAAGAAATGGGGAGATTAAATGGTATCGATTCGAGTTTGGTCCAGTACCCTTAAAAAAAGTGTTGTACTCGAATCGACTGATTTGAGGGGGGTTTCACTTTACCTTAATTGAGGGAAGTAAATGGGAGATTAAATGGTATCGATTCGAGTTTGGTCCAGTACCCTTAAAAAAAAGTGTTCCATTCGAATCGACTGATTTGAGGGGGGTTTCACTTCACCTTAATTGAGGGAAAGTAATAGGGAGATTAAATGGTACCGAGTCGAGTTTGGTCCAGTACCCTTAAAAAAAAGTGTTGCATTCGAATCGACTGATTTGAGGGGGGTTTCACTTCACGTTAATTGAGGGAAAGTAATAGGGAAATTAAATGGTACCAAGTCGGGAACTGGTACCCGGTCCCCCGGGAGAAGCCGTGAACCGGTGCATGGTGAACCATGAAGAAACCAGTCGCCTCCAGCAGTGAAAGTACCGCGGTAACCCGTGAACTTTACAGGCTTATAGCACTCCGAGGGACACCGAGTTCCACTTTGGAGAAAAACTCTAAGACGGGAGGGGACGGAAAAAAAAAATTAAAAAGAAAAAACGCACCGCGTGCACCTCGTACCTTAAAGAACTGGGAAAGTCGGAGTAACCCAGATAGAAATTCATGATCACCATGTGATGAGGAAAATCGATTTACAATTTCCAGACTATTTGCTGCATGAAATGTCTGCAATATATGTACGCATATTACACAATTATATGTATTACCCAAATATATGTACGCGTATTATACAATTAATTTGAAGAAAAGTTTGCGGCGAATTTGTCAGGCCCTCAAATATGAGTTACAGACGCTGCAATTGTTCATCAGCAATGCGTGAGATATGTACATACGCGTACAAATATTCAGACATCTCATGTACTTAACATTGTTTCATATTTAAGGATTTTTCGTTCGTCTCTGCAGATATGAGTTCTAAATGAGGACTCGTAAGCAATACCGTCATGATTCATTTCATGATCTTGTATGAGGCAAATTTGAAGGAAATTGTTCATTACTTTGCCTATCTGAGAATAAAGCGCCCTCGTTACAAGAATCCGCGCGGCCTGTTCCTAATATCGGATTTTTTTCATGGCGTTTCTTGCAGGGTGGTGTGGGAAGCGGTGCTGGTGATGACGGTGGCCATCCTGGCCGATGCGGCGGTTCCGGATCCCCCTACTTCCGGAATCACTACGGTGGGATCCTTGAAACTGGCCACGGCCGCAGACTGCGCCGGCGTGGTGGCGTTTTCCGCAACGCGTGCCACCGTTGTCGTGAGTTAAAAAAACATTATCTTCTTTTCTTAATATACATACCCTGAGAAAAAGAGCATCCTGACGCGAGGAAATATGCCCTGCCGCGACTAAATCCAGGATCGAATGAAATCCGTCGAAAGAAATGTTGGTGAGAGTAAAGAAAGTTCGTGTAAGTCAAGGATATCTCCTTTTCCTTCCTAAACGAAATAATTGTTTCTTGATGTGATTATGTGCCCATAATTATGAAAGTGGTCTAAGTCATATATTTTTTGTTTCGAAATTACATTGAATTAATTTCGTTTTAAATAATATGGCGTGAAATAACTGATAAACTCATTTTTTTTTAAATTTTGACTTAGACCACTTTCATAATTATGGGCACATTTATGGTTTGGGTGGCGGTATATATTCCTTGCGGTTAAGTGGTAATTTTTCTTAGGGTAGGTTGGACTGGGTTTAAGTATTTTTTTAAATATTTTTTAAAATTCTTTTTCCTTTGCAGGACGCCAAGATTATCCTGGCGGAGACCCTGGTGGACAAGGGTGTGGGATATGCCTCGGAGACCGGGATTTTCACCACCCACTGTCCTGGACTCTATCAGTTCAGCTTTGCTGGGTATGGCAGCCCGGATCTCCGGCTCACCCTGAAGAGGAAACCGAACAAGGAGTCATGGAGACCGGTGGTCAGCTCCGGACCAGGTGGAGGCGCCAACCTGGTCTATCTGGACGTGGAGACCGGCGACCAGGTCGCGGTTTTCGTCGATTCCGGAAAAGTCGCGGACGGGGCCAGTTTCTCGGGCCATCGCATTGCCAAGAAGTAGTCCTCGATTTCGATTCGGTTCGGGGTCTCTTCGGGGTCGAAGAGGAAGGATGGGAAAACCTCGGCCGAATCCAACGGGGAGGAAAGCGGAAAATCGGCGACTTTTGGAAACGCTTGGAAATCCAGTCCCTGGAACTTGTCTTTCTATTCCTTGTTTCGAAATTCTCGCTTTCTGCCTCGCTTAGTCTTCTGGGTCGTCCCCTCCTCGAGGAAGCGGACTCGAAATCTTCCCACCCACGATTGGGATTTTTTCTTCTCTTCGTAACAAACTGTGATAGCCCCTTCTTTCTTCTTTTATTTTTTTTTTCGTTTTAATGGAAAAATAATGGAAAGTTGCAACTTTTCGCGGCTGGCCGCCGAGGTGGAGCCTTTATCGAAGGAATTTTCAAAGAAATATGTATGTTAAATGTTTAATCGGAGATTAATTATGAATTATTTAACGATTGGCGGAAATTCGCAACTCTCCGCGCTCTCTCGACTCTGTCTCTCTTCTGTGTCTTCTCTATCTACTCTATTTTCGATCTTCCACTTCTGCCTCCTCTTCACTTCTCGACTGATCCTAATTTTCATTCACTTCTGTTCGTGGTCCTTTCCGTCTTTTCTTTATTCTACTCTTCTCTCCCTCTATCTCTGATTTTTCACTTTGTTTTCTATTCCTCCTTTTCCTACCTGGCTATCGATTACCTACCAGTATTAAGATCTAGAATTCTTCTAGCCCTTATCTTGCCCTTTATTCTTTTCCTTCTCTTTCAATTTCTCTTTCGATTGCTCTCCTTTTTCTCTTTTCTGTCGGATTTCTCAACCTCGTGACTTCTCTCCTTTCCGTTCTACTTAACTCTATACTGTAAACTCTTCTTTTTTCTCTCGTTACTTCCTCTATGCTGAACTTCTTTCTGTCCTCTTTCCGTCTCTTCTCTGTCTCACTTCATCTCGTTCTCAAGCTACTCGTTCATCCTTTCAAAACTACGTGATAACGCTGTGATAAGTCTCCTAAAACTTTAATGTAGCTCTCCACTTTCTCCTCTTACTTTACTTTCTACTTCTCAGTCTACCCCTTCTCTTTCAACTCTTGGAATTTCAACTCTTTCGCTGTCGTTCTCTTTTTCTGCCTTAACTCTCCCTCTCTATACATCTACATTTACTTTAACTTTCTGTATCATTTTTATTTCCCTCTTCTCGTTCTCTTTCGTCTCTACGCATTTTCGCATTTTCCTTCTTCAACTCTTTAATAGACTTCTGAAATTAATTCTTATTCTCTCGTCTGTCTACTCTCTTCATCTTTACACCTCTACCTTCTCTTATTTTTACTCTTCTCTCTCCTCATCTTTTTTTTATTTACCTTCGCTTCCTACGTCTCCTTTCCCGTGTAAAACTATACTTTACATGCAAGCTGTGATTACTTAACTATTTCTTACGTTTACTATCGCACAGTGACCGTCAATCGCGACTGATTGCGGGTATTGTTGGCGCATTTACCTATCTGTACCTATTTTTATTTTATTTTTCTACTATTGTTACCTCTTCCTACGTTATTTTTCTTCCGCCTGTCTGTATTTCCGTTGCTGCACCTGTGACTGTTAATGTTAAGTACCAACTGGGACGATTAGATAACAATCATTGATCGTTTATGACAAGTAACACTGACCGTTTTCATTATTTTCCGACGTCTTCCTATTCTCTCTTTCTCTCTCTCTCTCTTCTAATTCCTTCATATCTCTTGAATAAAGCTGAATTTTAGCGTTTCCTCTCCCCTCGGGTGAACTTTCTCCTCGTTTCAATTTTTCGTTTCACTACTGTTTACCCTTCACGTTCTATACATACACTTCTCTTTCTCTTGCCTTCCTCTCTTCAACTTCTCTTCTTTACCTCGCGCTATCACAGTCGCATTGTAATTAAAAAAAAAAAAAAATGATTAAACGGCTTACGCCGTGCGAGTTACCCGAATTGTCGAGGGACTTGCCCTTGCGTAATTGCAAACAAGATTATATGTTACTATGTAAAGGACACGTATAAATGTATGAACAACGAGAGGTGTACTCTCGGATCCTCGGTGAAGAAACAATGTACACGTGTATATTGAATTAGGAGGTAAAAAGAAAAAATGAGTTCCGTCCAAAGTTTCATTTTGGTAGGAAGGAGGAAAGGATCCCTCCTCCGAGGACACCTGTTCACAGGGTCAGCTCGACGGGTCCTTTCAAAAGGTTCGGATAGACCTCGAGGACAGGAAGGACCTCGTCCTCGAGGAATTCGGCGACCTGTTCGGCAGCTCTTCCGGTATACGTCTTCGGGTCCAGGATCTCGGTCAACCGGGGCAAAATGGGTGCGAAATATGGGTCCTTCCTGATCCTGTCCACCAGGTCGTTGTCCAGGCCGTGCTCCTTCACCTGGGCCCCCGCCTCGTGCGAGAGGACCCTGATCTTTTCGTGGCAGATCTTAAACGGAGAAAGTAACGAAACATATACCCAGGGAGAATCTCGAGGATGCCAATTGCGAGGAGATGGGCACCTTGGGAGGATCTCCTTTATCAGGGTCCTTTTACCTGGCGGTCACCTCCTGCCTTGACCATGGCCATGATGACGTTCTCCGCGGCCATGAAGGGCAGTTCCTGGTCGATGTGCCTGGCGATGACCTTAGGATATACCACCAGACCCTCGGTGACGTTCTGCAGGGTCGTCAGGATCACGTCGGCCGACAGGAAGGCCTCGGCCAGGGTGATGCGCCGGTTCGAGGAGTCGTCCAGGGTCCTTTCCAGCCACTGGTTGGCGGCTGTCTGCAGGGCATTGTTCCCAAGGGTCATCAGATGACGAGCTATGCCGCAGCATCTCTCGGATCTCATGGGGTTCCTCTTATAGGGCATCGCGCTGGACCCGATCTGCGTGCTCTCGAAGGGCTCCTCGATCTCCTTCATGTTCGCCAGGATCCGGATGTCACTGCATATCTGGGGGAATTTTATTTCGGACCAATTAATTTGGTACCATTACATGACTTCGGGTTTTATTTCCCTTTTTTTTTTCTTTACGACTTTACGACACCTTGTGGACGCTCGCCCCGAGGGAACTGAGGACGTTCATGCACTCCACGTCGACTTTCCTGCTGTAGGTTTGTCCGGTTACCGAATAGTGGGATTGGAAACCCGCCATCCTGGTCACCGTCTCGTCCAAGCGCTTCACCTTCTCCTTGTCGTCTGGGGAAAAAAGGGAAATATTTTATAACCTAACCTAATCCAACCTAACCTAACCTAACCTAACCTAACTCATGTATATACATCTAGTGCCATCGAAGAAAATCGAATCTCAGCTCACCGTTGAACAGCTGCAGGAACGAGGCCTGGGTGCCGGTGGTTCCCTTGACTCCTCGGAATTTCAGGTCGTTCCTGGCACGCCGAATCGCCCTCTCGTCCATCAGGAGGTCGTGCAACCAGAGGGAAGCTCGTTTTCCAACCGTGGTCAGCTGGGCAGGTTGGAGATGGGTGTATCCCAGGGTCGGCAGGGACCGGTACTTCATGGCGAAGTCTGCCAAACGTGACAGGACCCCTGCCAATTTCGGCAGCAGGATGTCGAAGCCGTCCCGCAGGATTATCAGGTCCTGGGGAAATGGGAGATGTTTAAATTCAAGAATCACAATTTATTGGATATCTGATGTCCTGTCATTTTTTTTTTCTTTTTTTTTTCTTTGGTAGGGAGTTACCGTGTTGTCACCGACGTAACAACTTGTCGCCCCCAGGTGGACGATCGGCGCCGCTTTCGGACATTGATTACAGAAAACGTGAAGATGCGCCATGACGTCATGTCTCGTCAACTTCTCTTCTGTCGCGGCGGCCTCGAAGTCGATGTCCTCCAGGTGGGACTCCATTTCCTGGATCTGCTCCGGGGTGATGTTCAACCCCAGTTCCTGAAATCATTCCTCGTATTATAGTGATGTGAACCCCCCCCCCCCATTAAATCAGTCGATTCGAATAAGACTTTTTAAGGGTATTGGACCAAACTGTCCGAAACGTTGACACGTGACTCGTGATCATCAAAGAATTGTCCTGATAAATTCATAATTTGAATTTTAAGAGAAAATGGTTTAACTTAATCCAGATCAGAACCAAAATGGCGTCGAGTTCTGATATTTCGATCAATATACAATTATTGATGGCTTTGATTTGAGACACGAAAGTGTCAGGACAATTGTACGATAATCTAGAATACTCTGGTAATTGATAAACTCGTATTTGAATGGGATAAAGTCAAAAAAAGTGTCTTATCCGCTTCTATGCCAGAACGATGGTAAGGCCAGGTCTCGGAGCGAAACTTTAGTTGACATGGCTTTGATATGAGAAACGAAAGGGTCAGGACAATTGTACGATAATTTAGAACACTCTGGTAATCGATAAACTCGAATTTTAACAGGATAAAGTAAAAAAAAGTGTCTTATCCGCTTCTATGCCAGAACGATGGTAAGACCAAGTCTCGGAGCGAAAATTTAGTTAACATGGAAATCACAGATGGCGCGGGGGGTCCCTCTGCAGTCCATTAGGGCCTCGGAAATCATGAATCCAGAGGATTTCTTGAGTTTTACTCCTATTTCTTAACAATTATCGTATGAAAACGACAGGTGGAGTATGCCATTTAGTACAATACCCAATACAATTCGACCCAGCTATCGATATAAAAACGAAGGTCGTCAACTTAGGTACTTAGATAAATCTTCTTTACCAACGTCGATCAAGTTCCTCGAGGTGTTTCACTTCACCTTAATTTCTCCATTTCTTGGGAGAGGAGTCACCGGAAGGTACGGCAGGTGGGCTAGAATCAGGAGCATCGGCGATAAGGCCGACGCCTGCGCAGATTAGACGGCGGTCTTATCGAGAAATACCGAGATTAGATACCGAGGGATGGGCCCTGCGTTCTCCGGCTTCGAGCGTGGACTTCATTTCGGGATTTTCGGGGGTTAGGGCGCGAAGAGGCTCTCTCATCGATCTCCAAAATGATGTCCATACCCGTTATCGGCAGTATCGTGATAAAAGTGCTCAAACTGGTGAGAAAGGCGAACTTGTGCTTCGAGATTAATTGGGGATAGAAAAAAAGTGGGATGTAATTTTTACAAGATTTAGTGGGTCGTGCGTGAAGGTGGACGTAATCACTTCGAAAGTGCTCCGTTGCAATTTGGCAAAATCGCGAATTTTTAAATGTCCAATTTTTAAATACTCAATTTTTAAATATCACATTTTTAAATATCCAATTTTTAAATATCNAATAAATTGAAGCCACTTGAAAAAGGATTTAATTCATATTCAGACAATTTCAGGGCGTTAGAATTTATTCCGCTCGATCGGATTGTTATCAAGTATTAAATATCTAATTTTTAAATACTCAATTTTTAAATACTCAATTTTTAAATATCCAATTTTTAAATCTCCCGATCAGATCGGCGACTTCGGTGCGCCGCTAATGGGAGCTCTCTGAAATTTGTTATTTTTTTTCAATTCAATGTGTAAATCGGGCGGCTATGTGATTCATGATTTTTCCGGACTCGATAGGAAATCTCCGTAGAGGTTTCCTCGATTTCACCCCCGTGAATCACCCGAGCGAGTCTTGAAACGATGCATGATAAGACGTGGGTTTGCGCAAGCTATGTACCCGGTTTGATACATGAGACATGACTGTTCATTGAACGCACGTCCCCACATGACTGTTCATTGATTATACATTTATCGCGGGTAATCTCGATCAGAGAGGGAGAGAGGAAATAACTCCGTACCCGATTAACCGATTTATCCCCATTAATTGCAGATCCTGAATTTAATCATCCTGATCCTTTATCGAACGGGATATGGGGGCGAATTCCTGGGAGTGGGAGGAACGTGGAATATGAACGAAGAGAAGAATCCGGATGCGGAAATCGTCGCTTCCGGGGTATTCGTAGGGTTCTTCATCTACACCAGCGTGGTCCTCATCGGCTTCTGCTTCAACCTGGAAGACCACAAGAAATCCCTCATTGTGAGTGAAGTAATTATCTCTTTTGTCGGAACTTTTCCCCTTAAACTGGGTGTCTGTCATTTAGGACATCATCATGAACTTCGTGGGAATGTTCATGTTCATTGCTATCGGCGGAACAGCGCTTCACTACTGGCATGGGTACCAAAGTGAACACAAGTACCTCCACGTGGCTTCGGAACGACAGGTGTGGTTTGCACTGTTTTTTTCCTTTTTTTTTTTCTTATCTTTTGGAAATAATTTTCTTGGCTGGGGGACTGATATTTCATTCTTCTTCTTCTTTTCTTTTTGCATTTTCCAGGTGGGATTGGCAATGGGTTCCTTGTGCATCCTGGAAGGGGCGGCCTATCTGGTGGACCTGATCCTCAGCTTCCTCCACTACGCCAAAGAAGACTTCAATTGAACAGAAATTCATAAAATTAATATCGAGGATTAACCAACCTCCAGTATTCTTATTCACCATTGTGCATGACACGGGATTTCATCCGTAGATCTCTTCCGATGATTTTTTTTTTTATCTCGCCATTTTTGCATGACTCGAAAGTGCATTTTTTTTAAATCTTTTCCTCATTTCTCGAACGAGCCGATCGATCAGTACAACTTAGAAGTAATATGTATGTATAAACGTAATGTATTCCGTATAGTTGATTTTAGCGATTAAACGCCGGAGGGGAGTTTTCTAGGGCTCTTTTTTGAATGAAATTAATTTCGAGGATTAACCAACCTCCAGTATTTTTATTCACCATTGTGCATGACTCGAAAGTGCATTCTTTTTTTCAATCTTTTCCTCATTTTTCGAACGAGCCGATCGATCAGTACAACTTAGGAGTAATACATATGTATAAACATAATGTATCCGGTATAGTTGATTTTAGTGATTAAACGCCGGAGGGGAGTTTTCTAGGGCTCTTTTTTGAATGAAATTAATTTCGAGGATTAACCAACCTCCAGTATTTTTATTCACCATTGTGCATGACACGGGATTTCATCCGTAGATCTCTTCCGATGATTTTTTTTTATCTCGCCATTTTTGCATGACTCGAAAGTGCACTTTTTTTTCAATCTTTTCCTCATTTTTCGAACGAGCCGATCGATCAGTACAACTTAGGAGTAATATATATGTATAAACGTAATGTATTCGGTATAGTTGATTTTAGCAATTAAACTCCGGAGGGGAGTTTTCTATTGCACTTTTTTCAGACTTATTTAAACAGTTGGAATATAGGCTAGGTCGAGCTGAGAGTCCTTCGATAAATAAATTGAAGAAAGTATGACTTTTTCCAGATTTTCGAATCCTTTCAAATTTCGGGCAAGAGCTTGCGGTCCAAGAAAAAAAAAAAAAAAAGGAAACTCGAGAAACAATTCAGCGACGATTCCAACCTCGAAAGGGATTCCGAAGGCGTAGATAATTATTAAATATATTTATAGTAGAAATAATAACAGATCGGTGGAACCATGACGAGGCCTTGCCAGCAGCTCTTGAAGGATCCTCATTACATCCTGAAATTACTAGCCTTGGTGCTTATTTTGCGAGTACCTCCGCCGGGACAACTTCGAGGTAACCTTGCGCGGTCGATATAAAAATTAATAATAATTTTTAGTGCTGCTCCTTGATATCGAAGATGCTGATCTTTCGCATGAAAGTGGAAAAGTCAACGGCTGCGGCTTTGGTCGATGGTTACAACCTGTCTGTCATTGTCATTTTAATGATCTTATTGGCAGCCTACACGTGGTTGGAGTCCACGAGTGTCACTGTAAATTTCGACTGGAAATAATTACCTTATGCAAGGATTTTTCTTTCTTTTTTTTAATTCGATTCCTTTTCATCATTCCAGGAACTTTTCCTACTATTTGATGTGTTGATCATGGTGTTGACAGCTTCGGTAACGTATGCAGTACATTGCTACAGAACGGAAAACGTGCAGGGAGAAGAAGGATACGTGATAAGTTAGTTAATTAATTTCTAACGCGAGAAGATATTAAAAATCGACATTTACTTTCAGAGGGCGAAAAGCGGCACAGGACTTATCTTGGTTTTAATATGAGTAAGTGGATACGATTAAGGATTTCATTTATTTATAATAATGGATTTAGTCTCGTTAATTCTTCCCCGCAGTCACCTTCGTAATCGTGATGACGGACTCGGTGCTCCTGTTGATTAAAAAGTGAAGATTTTTGAATTTCAACATCGGAGGGAGTCCCATATTGCGGAAAGCATTGTTATTAATGAATTTTGAGAATAAATTGAAGCCACTTGAAAAGGGGTTTAATTCATATTCAGACAATTTCAGGGCGTTACAATATATTCCGATCCATCGAATTGTTATCAAGTATTCGTCAATTTGTATGGTTATCACAATTCCGACTAAACTAAAGAACTGGAAATTTTATTTACGAGTTACCGAAGTGGTATGATTTTTTGGCATTTTTTTTTATCAGACTCAAAAATTAAGATTTTTGAGTTTCAACATCGGAGGAAGTCCTCTATCGCGGAGAATATTGTTATTAATGAATTTTGAAAATAAATTGAAGCCACTTGAAAAAGGATTTAATTCATATTCAGACAATTTCAAGGCGTTAGAATTTATTCCGGTCGATCGGATTGTTATCAAGTATTCGTCAATTTGTATGGTTATCACAATTCCGAGTAAGCTGAGGAACTGGAAATTTTATCTACGAGTTACCGAAGTGGTATGGCTTTTTGGCAGATTTTTTATTAGACTCAGACATGTCACTTTCAGGTCTTGTCATCGATTTCTTTGAGCCTTCTCTCGAGGCTCGACGAGTATGTCATGCCGAAATGGTTATGGTCGATCTGCAGCATCGATTCCGCGACCTACCTCACGATTTCCTCCGTGATCCTGATCGCGTATGTCGCGAATGTGCAATCCGAGCCTCTGGTGAATAATTAAATAATTCCTAATCGAATTCTACTACATTAATTATCGATCATCCCTCAAACAGGACACCGTTTTCTCGGCAATCGGTGCTCCACTTTGCCTGATCGGCGGTTCAATTGAAATAATTCGATTTTCATTATACATTCCCGAGGAAAGCACCACCCGTGGCTACGAACTCACCCTAGGAGTCCTATTTAGCGGTATGAAAATTCCTAACAATGTCAAAGTTTTCTTTAAATAATTCACGGATTTAAATCATTCAAGTTTCAGGCATTCTGAAAACCGGAGAGGTCTTGTGGACGATCTGCGAGAAGAGGCGATCATTCTTCAGGGATTTCCTCGATGACACACCTCGGCGCAATGTTAGAACATCGTATTAATATCTAATTAAAACATGTTATACGGGATAATTAATAATATCGTTGTATTTACATTGGGCATACGTTTCCGCGTTAGAGTCTCACTCGCGCTCCTTCTTCAGACCGAAGATTATATCGAAGATCATTAGAACTGCTGCTGGAAGGAAAGTGATAAGAAAAATCTATCATTATAATGATGTATTATTTATGTAAAATGGAAAGGCAAAAGATGCCGACCCGTTACCAAGGGAAGGATGCAGCTGACGGTGAGGTCCATCAGGGCGTAGATCAGCATGAGAATCGTATAAATGATAAGCAGGATGACTTCCTGAAATTTCCCGAGGAAATGATTTTCCTAGGTGGAGGTCGGAGCCATTCGTAATGAAAAGGGAAATGAAGTAGGGGAAAAATTCGAGGCACCATCCACATATTTGGATCCTCGAAGATGTACGAGAGGACGTAGGTGAGGGAGATGAAGAACCAACCGTGGATCGCCCAGACCAAGAAGAGGATCCCACTGGTGTGGTACTTGATCATTCCCACGAGACATAAGATCTGAAATTCACCCAAGAACTTCCATCATCGACCACGAGGAATAATTAACTCGTACTCACACACTGGAGAGCCCTTAAATCGTAATTAACGTTCCTGAAAAGCTCGCCGCGAGACTTCATGCTCCTTCAGCTCCGACAGGGATACTTAACCACGTGTTATAAATGTATAATAAATTTCCCAACATTCAACAGGATCCTGACGATTTGAGAAACAAAAGAGGGTTCAATTAATTGCCGATACCAAGGCTGGACATTTTCAGGTTAACGCAATATACGTAAATGACTTCAGGCAGGATGATCGCGCTCCTGAGAAATCAAGAGAGGAGGTCTTTATTCCTGAAAGCACTGTCCACGGTCGGATAAATCTTTTTTCCCCCCCTTTAGAATAATATTAATAATTATTTTTATATAGGAATATTGTTTTCTCCTGATTAGATGGCCTGCCTCCTGGTGACGTTCGTCCAGGGGTCATCCTCGATGGTGTTCCACGATACCACGATCGCCATTCTGATTCCTGGATTTCTGACGGGCAACATAGTCATTAACGTCGCCTGTATGGCGGTGACCTACCTCAACAGGCCTCATTACTTCATGGTAATTCCATTTTAAGGGATCCGAAAGCTCAATCGCTCATAAAACTATTCTACGAACTGGGAGTCTCAAATTGTTTAATACTTTAAAACGTGAATATGGAGAGCCTAAGGTAGGTCCTGAAACTCGGGAGATCTGATTTTTTATAAAATATTTCTAAAATATCTATAAACAAATTTGAGAAGAATTGAAGTTCCATGAGTGTCAGGACCTTCCTTGAAGTCTCCGTATTCACGTTGTAAAGTTTCAAACTATTCGGCTAATCGAGTTGGGAGGAAAATTTTATAAACAATACCTCTTCGACGCCACTTTCGCATCACCTTAAGGCGCTCGTTGAATTTAACCCCTTTAACTCGTCAGGACACTTGTTTCTGCGCAATTGGCCTCCTGGTCAGCATTTGCTGCGGTGTGCACCGGCTTTATAGTTGGACAACGTGGTACAAAGACATAACCAGCGACAGCGACGAGTCCATGAGCCAAGGGTGAGGGGGAGGCATTACGAATAATAATTGCGACCGCTTAAGGAATAATTATGTAGAGATTACTCGGCTAAGTGCCGCTTCCGCCAGAACCCTGGACCCCGATTATTCCCCCTAAAGGGAATATTGAACCGCTTTAATTCGCCGATTTTCTTCAGATTCGAGGAGCCAGTGATAGCGGGTGCATGTCTGATAAACGTGATAATCCAGCTCGGAGATGCGATCCGCAACGTTTACGAGATGAGTCGCGATTCTTCGGTGATGGTCGAGCAGGACGATTCCAGGACAGGTGATTTTTTGGAAACGAGCGCAATCGGGGAAATTTGATAAAGATTTATAAAAAAAAACAATAGGTAGGGGTGGGGTTGAATTGATTTGGAGGGTCACTAACAAGGAAACATTCTCAAGTGTCCGCCGCCGATCTTATTGATTTTCATATATGTTCATGAACACAAAAATCTATTATTAAGATTTTTCTTAAAAAAAAAAAAAAACAATAGGGTAGAGGTGGGGTTGAATAGATTTGGAGGGTCACTAACAAGGAAACATTCTCAAGTGTCCGCCGCCGATCTTATTGATTTTCAAATATGTTCATGAACACAAAAATCGGTTGAAAATGGATGTAGGTGATACATGGGCATATCTCGACTATCTATATTGGGTTACAGCGTCATCGAATCGGTTGCGAAACAATTTCGGTCTCAAACTGTTTTTCTAATATATTTCTAAATAATTGCATGTAATGAAACCAATGACACTTTGAGGAATTACCACGTTTACTTAATTTATGTACAATGAATTGGTCACGATATAACCCAATAAAGATAGTCGGGATATACCCATGTACCACCTACATCCATTGTTTTCAACCGATGCATAAATGTTTATTGGCACAAAGCAAAAAACACGTATTTCCTCATTTTTTACGAGCAATCACACGGCGTAAATGGAACTTAAGTACCAGTGCTTGTTTAATAGATATTAGAAAAAAATTTCGCCCGAAGGGTAGTTCACCCTCTTGAGGTGGTGTAATCATCCCTGGACAATATTGCGTTTTCACCGTCCTTATACAAAATACGTTTATGCCAAGTTTCGTCGAAATCCCTCCGCTGCTTCTCCGAAAATGAATATAAAAATCGAATTTTCGCCAAACTCTGTGGGGTTGTCCCCCCTTAAATGTGGACCATTGCAGATAAAAAAAACACGTGTCCTTTAAATTTGTATGTTCATGAACATATATGAAAATCAATAAGATCGGCGGCGGACACTTTGGAAGATGTTGCCTTGTAAGATGAGGCGTCCTGGTGGATGCAGGAGACTTCGGTGTCGGTTCTGGAGACGTGGAAGGAACCTTGGCGACCCTGAGGCCCGACAATTAATCCATTTGACCCCTCGGATCACCCTGGCCGACCACCCGACTCCTACACACTGGCGATCCGGATACTTTGACTGAGACAATTACGAGCCATCCGCGGCAATTATCTCCGACTTGACTCGGCGAGATGTACCGGGGCCCCGGGTAAACATCCGAAATGACAATTGTCCTTAATCCAGAGTGTCTAAAAACGTCCAAATTGGCCCCTTCTTTCCCAGGACCCAAGAGGAAAGTTCGGAGAAAGATTCCAAAAGATACTCGAAGGTGCCGGGAACTTTCCGAGACCTCTTCCTCATACTCCCCAGCACTTGCGTTTACACATCGCAGGTGAGAAGGATGACGCATCAGGTGGGTCGCGCAGGTCGACGCACCCCACCTTCCTCCAGATTCGAGAGATCGATCCCCCTGAGGTACAGGTCGGCCCAGAAGAAAGGGACTCGTTCCTCTCGACCTTCCCTGGAGTGCCTTCACCTGCGTGTCCACCTGCGAGGACGACACCTCCAGGTCGAGTCCCTCCACGGGTCGTACAGTTCGACCCCAGAGGAAGCCCCTGCCCTGCAGGACCTTGAAATCGATACGAAGGCCAGCCCCTCCATGTCATCGAACGAGGTTACCCTTGCATAATCGATGGACCCCCCGCGAAGCACCTGCGCCCTTCACCTGGTGGGCGCCGAAATTTCTCCCCCGTTTATACTTTAAACGCGTTTTTCTTAAAAGTGCATTTAAAAAATCGGTAGTCACTCTAGCTCCGCCAATTTTCAATCGATCGTCTTGATTCTTATTTATTTTATTCGTGATATGTTTATCTAGCGAAATACGTATGGTTTTTTCAATGTATTGATATTCGCGTTTTTTATGCAACATTGATTAACGAAATTTAGGGCAAAATACGTATCTCTCCTTTCAAATCGATGCCATTTTGTGAAAAATGCATATTTTTGAAAACGCTAGCTTTTTGGCTGCAGAAATTAATTCTTTTTCGTTAATTGATCTAGCTTAAACCTGGACTGAGTTATCGTGCCATCGATTTTCGCAGCGTTCCGGTAAATCGCCTTTCAAGCCGGCATTTTGATAAATAAAAAAAATTCAAAAAAATATTTCATTGTTTAATAGTAGTATAATACCTTACTGTACTTTAATTTGGATAAAAACGTTTTAATTCTGAAAAAAAAAATTTTTGAAAAACCGTAATTTTCGGGTGGGTCAAAGTGGTGTAACCCCTTAAGCGAGAAAAGTGAATCACCGAGAGGATCGGCGCCCCTCGTGAATGAAGATTGACCCTAAGTACTCTACGAGGAACTTCCAAGTCATGAATGAGTCACTCAAGAGCGATCTCGAGGTGAGATCGGGAGGGCCCGGGGCTAAGTGCACCCGGCCATTTAATTCCTACATTCGGTTTATTTTCAGGTGATCAAGGAGCGTACAATTCCCGTCGTACTACGAGGTAGTACTACGCATTCCCGCACACGTACGCGACCGTAAACGGAGGGGACACAGAGACCGGTGCCGAAGGAAACGCTCTCGTAAACCGGTAAGTCGTAAGTAGAGTACAGTTGCAGGCTGAATTCTTGGCGTTTTAAGGAGGGTTCACACCTGGAGGAGGGTCTAGACGCGCGGGGGGAACGCAACCTGGCGTGGGAAGAGCCCACGGAATTTTGGAAGAGAGGACGGACTCGGAATTACCGTCGAGTGTCTCGAAAATCGAGAGATCCTCAGGTAACGAGAGGTGGGTGCTCGAGGTCCCGGTGTGAGGGGCCCTTAACGTCTTACGGGCCTCTTTAGCGTGTACATTTGCGGCACGTTCGACCGGGTCCTGGTGTAGGTGCGTAAAGGGGTACCTCTACGTGGAGAGGGTCTCGCACACCCACAGGGGCCCCTCCCTGATCCACGAGGAAACTAGAACGCACACGGAGAAGCGTCCCTGTGAGTAATGCCCCCCCTCGCGAGGTGCATTCTTACGTGCATGCACACGTGGACCCGTGGCTGCTCCCTCTCCGGGCCGCCGTGAGTGCGAGAGAGACCGAGCGAGGCGCCGCGCCGTGGGTGCGAGAGAGAGGCCTGGCCCGACGCGGACCTGCGGGCGCTCGGGGAGACTCGGCTGTGTGAGTGCGGGAGAGACGCAACTATACGGCGATCGGTGGGATGGAGAGAGAGGTCCGACTAGGCGGTGACTCGCGTGCTCAGCCTGGTGAGACCGTGTCACGCTTGTCGTTCCAGTCCCCGAGTCAGTCCTGTTCGTGCGACGCCACCGATCGCGGCCTTCTGAGGAAAAGTCCGACTATCCTTCCCGCCTTTGGCAGTGGAGGGAACCGAACCAAAGGAAAAAGGTACGCGATGATCTCCTCGAGGTCTTGAATGGACTGCACCGGGGATATCGGGACTGTGTGCGGTGCGGCGCAATGGGGATGCACCTGTGGGCGCGAATCGTTTTCCTTTTCACTGTTTTTCCTTTTTTCTCTCTCTGTTACGTTTTGTGCGAGTGTCTACTCACTCCTCTCGTTTCTAGGATTTCAAAGTTCCCGGGAAAAACCGACCCGAGGATGTGGAGGAGTCGCGGGGAGAGGACCGCGTGAGGAAAGCGTCCTGTCGGGAGGACGCGGGGACTTTTCCGGAAAGACTGACGGGTCAAAGTGGAGGTGGACAAGCTGGAAGTCGGGAAGGGTCGCCATCGCAGGGTCAGGATGGCCGACGAGAGTCTCCAGGACTCCACGATCGACAAGGCGGACCGGGGCAGCGCCAAGGCGGTCCTCTTCAAGATCGCCGAGGTGGTGAGTGACACTCCTCGACTTCGATTCCCGATTCCGCCTGGGCTTTTTACATTTTTATTATTTTCTTCCGGTAACAAGGTCCTGGCAGTCTTCTCCGTGGGCCTCATCGTGGACCCCTTCAACTCGTTCCAGCAGATCTTCAACAAACCCCGCACCAAACTCGACGACATCGCCTTCATCTACATCACCATCGGCGGGTTCGTCATCTTCAACACCCTCTTCGCCATCTCCCACGTCCTCGGGGATAGGATACCAAAACGAACGGTAGACGATTTTCCTCGGGAGGTGCCGCGATATCGGCATCTCCTCATTTCGCCATTTCCCTCATTTCCCCTCCCGTCGATCCTCGACGGAAGATCGCGCGCGAAACAAGGACAGGGACGTTGCGCGATCAGTGCTTTTCTTACTAAGAGATGAAAAAAGATAAAGAAAAAGAAAAATATCCACAGTCGCACCTAGAAATTTCACTTGCCGCCCGGGAAACGCGAACGCTTGAAAATCGTCCGGAAATATTGTTATCACCCCGACAAGAGAAATAATGACCACCTCCACCGATTGGTGCTCCTATAAGAGAGGAAAAAAAAAATAGAAAAAGAAAAATATCCACAGTTGCACCTAGAAATTTCATTTGCCGCCCGAGAAACGCGAACGCTTGAAAATCGTCCAGAAAAATTGTTATCACCCCGACAAGAGAAATAACGACCACCTCCACCTATCGGTGCTCCTCTAAGAGAAGAAAAAAGAAAGAAAAAATGAAAAAGAAAAATATCCACTGTCGCACCTAGAAATTTAATTTGCCGCACGAGAAATACGAACGCTTGAAAATCGGCCGGAAAAATTGTTATCACCCCGACAAGAGAAATATCTACCACCTCCACCAGGGCGACGACAAATCGCGTATCGCTCGTTCGTTCGACCGGGGAGAGCGATATATTTTCTTTTTTTTTTTTTATTTATTTCTGACAGTTCCACCAAATTCATTCGATGTAATTGGAAGTGTTTCTCCCGTCGGCGCGATCGTTCCTACAGGAAGAGCGACATTTTATCGGCAATGCCGTCCATTGCGAGAAGTGCAAGTGTCGTTTTTCTATTTCTTTCTCCTTTTTTTATATTTCCGGCACCTTTTTCCGCGGGCCCGGGTTTACGGCCGCGTGTAAATGCCGCCGGTACTGCACGGCCTCGCCCATTTTTACGCTCTACACGTTTACACAGCTGAGTCATTATTCCTAGCGTAATTAGCGCGCACATCGGCGCACCGAGCAGCGCTCTCTTGCGTGCCTTTACGTATCGCTCGACAGAGTCACCTGAGAATTACCTGAGGGACGACATGCACGAGTCGAGAGGTCTAATCATTACCTATGTCGCTCTTTTGGTCTCCTTGATAAAAAAAAAAATGAAAAAAGAAAAGATTTCATCGAACAGTACCGAGGAAACACCTTGTAAATTCAAAGAATAATCATTAGACTCGAATAAATTCGAATAAATTGGCTGTGACCTCTCTTCGGAATTAAAACGATTTACTTGAGTTTTAGTCAATTAAGGCGATGTCAAAATGGCGTCCAAGAGGGTTTGTTTATAAAATTTTTCTCCCTACTTGGTTTACCGAATAGTTTCAAGCGTTACAACGTGAATAGAGAGACTATAAGGATGGTCCTGAAACTAAAGAAATATCAATTTTTTCTCAAATTTGTTTATAGGTGTTTTGAAAATAGTTTGTAAAAAATGAAATCACCCGAGTTTCAGAACCTACCTTAGGGTCTCCATATTCACGTTTTGAAGTATGAGATGAAACTCAAGAATTTTCAATTTTTTGTCAAATTTGTTTATAGGTATTTTAAAAATAGTTTGCAAAAAATGAAATCACCCGAGTTTCAGGACCTACCTTAAAGTTTCCATATTCACGTTTTAAAGTATGAAACGATTTGAGACCCCCAGTTCTATGAAAAGTTTTATGAACGATTGAGCTTTCGGATGCCACTTTCACATCCCCTTAATAGCGAATTATTTCTCTGGTTCGATGAATTTTCCTTTTATGCAAGAAATCGATTTTTTCATTTTCTATTTTTATTTTTTTCTCTTATTAAATTTGAGTCCTTGTTCCAGACGATGATGTTCGCCGCGGTCGGCGCCCTCTTCCACGTGGTGGCCGGCAGCGTGATCGTCCACAATTGGCGGAAGCTTCACGGGGATTACGTCTACGTGCAGAACAATGCAATTTACCCGAGCAAGCAGTACATGGACATGCTGATCTCCGGGGCGGTCTTCACCTTCCTCGACGCGGCCATCTTCGTCGCCGAGGTCGTCTTCGTCTTCAAGTACTCGTAACTCCTGCAGTACCTCTCACCAGGTGGCTGCAGGTGGAGGGACGATTTTTCCCCTTTTCTTTTTATTTTCTTTTTTTTTTTTCTAAAAACAATTGGTACGCATCTTTACGTCTCCAACAGTGCACGAAGAAGGGCACGAAGAGAGGAGAATCAGCTGATGTAAATACGCCCCGGGAAGCGTGACCCTGTAGAGGGCTTTAGGAGCTCCAGATTCCCCCTTTATGACTAGAATCTCGTAGAATTCCGATCACCAGATCGATCGCGTATGATCGATCGAGGGGTAATTTTGCACGCGCACGTACAAAGCTATGCGATCCGCTCGAGCGATCTCTAAGTAGCCTTAATTATCGATTGACAGGTCAATTAGCGAGGTAAGAAGTCGCGAGTGAATTTCGGAGGTCCATCTTGAAGAAGATCGATGAGGTTCAGGTGATCTACTTAATCTCGGATCGATCGAGGGTCGTTGATTAATTATTAACGCTAAACGTAATTATTAAGGAACCCGGACAAATCCCATTACCGATCGGCTATCGATCCCCGTTCCATGTATTTTTTTTTATTTATTGCCCCGCGAGTATATATATATATAGAGGATAAAAATATCTTTTGCACCCGGCCGAGGATCGGAAGGATCTCTCGTTTTTTTTTCTATTTTATTTTCTTCTTCTTCGGAGCGTTCCGAATTTCGGAGAGTCCCTTTGGTAGGATGCTTTTTATTTTGTTAATGACAGATATATTTATATATATATATTTTTCTCTTTTATAACGAACGTACAATGCTGATGCCCAAAGCGCACCTCCGAAAGGGCTCGGAGGTGAGATTTCTAAAAATTGGGAAAGTCTATTGAAAGTGTTAAGGTGAAGTGAAACCTCCTCCTCGAGTCAGTCGATTCGAATAAAACACTTTTTTTTTAAGGGTATTGGACTAAACTGTCCGAAACTTTGTCATATGACTCGTGATCATCTAAGAATTGTCCGGACACATTAAAAATTTGGATTTTTTTTTTTAATTTTTTAATTCAGCTCTAATCAGAACCCAAATGGCGTCGAGCTCTCATATTTCGATCGATATCCAATTATCGAAGGCTCTGATATGAGAAACGAAAGTGTCGGGACAATTGTACGACAATTTGGAACACTCTGGTAATCGAGAAATTCGCATTTGAACAGGATAAAGTCAAGAAAAGTGTCTTATGCTCCGATTTCTTTATAATTATTGTACGAAAACGACAGGTGGAGTATGCCATTTGGTACAATGCCCAGTACAATTCGACACGGCTGTTGATATGAGAACTGACGTCGGCAACGTACGTATGTAGAAAAATCTTCTTTATCGACGTCGATCAAGTTCCACTACGTGTTTCACATCACCTTAATTCGCCCGATAATCGTTTCCTCGCCCCTGCGAGAGAGAAACGGCCTTAAGTCCAACTCCGTCCTTGCGATCTGCGAGCACAGTCGACGTGGGAGGATCTTCCCTAGTTTGTCGTCCTTTTTCCCATCCTTCCCATCTACCTTCTGTGATATTAAGGTGATGTGAAAGTGGCGTCGAAGAGGTTTTGTTTATTAAACTTTTCTCCCAAATTGATTTACCGAATAGTTTGAAACTTTACAACGTGACTAGGGAGACTATAAGGAAGGTCCTGAAACTCATGAAACTTCAATTCCTTTCAATTTTGTTTATAGGTATTTTAAAAATAGTTTACAGAAAATGGAATTTCGCGAGTTTCAGGACCTACCTTAGGGTCTCCATATTCACGATTTAAAGTATGAAACGATTTGAGACACCCAGTTCTATGAAAAGTTTTATGAACGATTGAGCTTTCGGATGCCACTTTCACATCCCCTTAAGGTCATGTGAAAGTGGCGTTGAAGAGGTTTTGTTTATTAAACTTTTCTCCCAATTCGATTTACCGAATAGTTTGAAACTTTACAACGTGACTAGGGAGACTATAAGGAAGGTCNATATTTGTGTATTGTTTACGAATAAAATGACATAGGCGAAATGGAGGATGCCGAGGGGAAGAGAAGGAACTTCACGGAACCCTCGGAGAACAATTGACTTCCCGACGAACCAGCTTCAGGATTTCGGAAAATTAATCGGCAAAAAATCTGCTGTCTCTTTTGGATTGAATTTTTGGAAAGGGGGTTCCCGACAGGATCGCTCGTATGGCCGAGATCCAAAATGATCCGCCTGTGATCCAGGAGCCGATCAGGAGGGCCGATCGATCGCGATCGATCCCCTACGCGAAGCCGATCAGACTCGTCCAGCTCGTAAGTTCTGATAAGTAGGAATTGGGAAGTTCTGATAAGTAGGAATTCGAAAGTCCTGATAAATAGGAATCGATCCGGACGGCGAGGATTTTCCGAGTGATCCTTTTGATGATCTCTCTTCAGGTAATTTCCTCGATCCTTCTGGGGTCCACGATCGGCTTGGTCCTGGAACCGCGAAAACACGTCGACCACGGTGGGTCGATCCTCTTGGGGACGATCTTCTTCAGCTTCTTCCTCTTGGAGGTCGTCGACGTCGCCGGTCAGCTGTTCGGGGATCCGATACCGAACACTCCGGTATATATATATATATTTCGGTCTGAAGGGAATGTTAAGAGGATATGAAAGAGAGAAGAAAAAAAAAATATACATACATACATATATATGTGTGTATATATATATATATATAGTTAAATCGTCGGGGAAAGTATTCTCCGTAGAACATCGAAAACGTGCACGGACCAAACCATGTTGGTTCTAGTCCATGATAAATACATTTTTTATGAAAAATTAAATTACATGAGTTCCAGGACGTACTTTAGCGCCTCCATATTCCCGTGGGAAAATTTGAAACGAATCGGTACACCCGATTCGTTTATATATATATATTTCGTTTCTATATTCGTTTATATATATATTTCGTTTCTATATTCGTTTATATATATATATTTCGTTTCTATATTCGTTTATATATATAGGCTGACGCTTTCATATCCTCTTAAAGAGGGAGGGTGGAGGATACTTCGAAATCGTCGTCCTTCAGATGTTCGTGAGCGGGTCCTGCGGGGTCCTGCTCTTCCTCGTCGCTTCCGGAGGAACGATGTCGGTCCAGATTCGCGCAGCCTCCGAGAAGAGCGACCTCCTGATCGTGACCTCGCTCTTCAGCTTCCTCGGCGCCCTTGTCCACCTGCTGGACGTCTTCTTGATCCTCTTTTTCGGCTACTGATCGATTGCCGATCCTCGAGAGGTCGACGCCTCGAGGCCAACTTCAGGGCGAGGTAACCTTCTTCTTCGAAATTCCCCGCGGAAGGCCCCGAGGATGCCCCTGAGATCGCCGATCGTCCCTGGGATCTCTTCTGGTCGGGAAGGAAATGATCGATTCAAAGAGTGAACACCTCTGAGGTCAGTCGCGGCCTTGGAAATCCGATTCCTGGGGGAGGAAGGACCGCATCGAGGTAACCTTCTCCTTCCTCGAAGAAGTAGAAATCCCGGAAGAAATCGGTCAGTTAAAAAATCCCGGAAGAAATCGGTCAGTTAAAAAATCGTGGAAGAAATCGGTCAGTTAAAAAATCCCGGAAGAAATCCGTCATTTAAAAAATCCCAGAGATTCTTCGCCAGCTCCCTGACCTCCAGGTGAAATCTCGAGGAAGTTTCCCGTTTTCGAGTTTCGAAAGTCCGCTCCAAAATGATGGGCCCAGCTTGTGGTCTGGGGGGAGGGTGCCCAGCACCCACGACGGGCGTCTGCGACGAGGCCTGCACCCTGCCCATGGCCAAGCCCATCAGGATATTCCAATTCGTAAGTCCGGAGACGAGACACCTTCCACAGGAGGCATTCTTATCAGACCATTTCCCCTGAAATTCTAATTCTTTCGGATTTTCCAGCTGTTCGTCACCGCGCTCTTCGCCCTGACCATCTACACGATCTCGAGGAACTCCCCGTACCAACAGGTGGAAGGGATCCTCTTGACGGTCCTCTTTGGCAGCTTCCTCTTCATCGCCCTCATCGACATCATCAGTCAGTTTGGAGGAGACCCGATTCCGGACACCCCGGTGGGTCCCCGAGTGATTTTCCTCGATTTTCTCCGGATTTCTCGTCATCGAGATGGAAATTCACCCTTTCAGATGTTCCTATTCGGGGTGGTCGGCACGCTGCTCTTCCTCATGGCAGCTGGAGGCATTTTCTTCATCAGCAGGAGAGAAGAGGTCGAGGATGTCTGGAGGCTCACCGTGTCGACGGTCCTGGCTGCTGCGTGCTCTCTTCTCTTCCTCCTGGACGTCCTCTTGATATTCCTCTACGGATATTAAGGAAGGAACGAGAACTGCAAAATTTTCATCTTTAGCCCATCAGCTTGTTGTATCTCCTCACCTTGTATATACAATACAACGTCCTTGTCTATGATTTTTAGAGTGAGAGTATTTTTTTCTTCTCTTCTGTTCCTCCTGGACGTCCTTTTGATCTTTCTCTACGGATATTGAGAAAGGAACGAGAACTGCAAAATTGGCATCCCTTAGCCCACCAACTCGTTGTATTTCCTCACCTTGTACATACAAATTGTATAATACAATACAACGTCCTTGTCCATCATTTTAAACGTGAGAGTATTTTTTCTTCTCTTCTTTTCCTCCTGGATGTCCTCTTCGTCCTCTTCTACGGATATTGAGGAAGGAACAGGAATTGCAAAATTTGCATCCCTTAGCCCGCCAACTCGTTGTATTTCCTCATCTTGTATATACAATACAACGTCTTTGTCCACGATTTTTAACGCGAGAGTATTTTTTCTTCTCTTGATCTTCCTCTACGGATATTGACGAAGGAACGAGAACTGCAAAATTTGTCATCCTCTAGCCCGTCAACTCGTTGTATTTCCTCACCTTGTATATACAATACAACATCCTTGTCCATGATCTTTAGCATGAGAGTTTTTTTCGGGCCCTGGGTGTCGAAGGATAATCAAAAACAGAGGAGCGAAATGCTTAGCAGGAAAAATTGAAAGAAGATGGGCGGCATGGGTTGCTGTCAAAGGAGGTGTCAAAAAAAACGCGATAGGATTCACGTATACGAGAAAAGCGAGAAGAGGAAGATGAAGTCGAAGAAGGGGTGGAAAAATCTTTCCCGTAATTTGAGATTCGAATAGAGGGAGGGCAATTCATTGAAACGGTACGTTGATGAAAATACCGAATTTCAGGGTCGAAGGAGAAGAAGAGGAGCTCCTTCGAGGAGTCTCGTCCGAGGGTGCCGAAACTGATACCCAGGAGGTCCTCGAAATCCTGGAAGTCCTCAGAATCCCTGAGGTCGGAGCCTTCGACGAAGTCGAACCTCTCGCAGGATGTCAAGAGGTCCAAGGTGGAGGAGTACCGTCCTCGTTACACTCGAGCTGCAAAACCTCTGAGGATAATTCAATTTGTGAGCGATGCGACACTTCTTCGGCAATGGCTGGGAAGTAATCCTTTTTTTCACAGTTTTTCACTCTGCTTCTGTTCGCCTCGAGCATCTACATGGCGGCGTTAAAGCCAGGCCCTTTGCCGGATATCCTGCCGATCCTTTTGGCCGTCCTGTCGGCGGTCTTCGTCTTCGTCCTGGCCGCCGACATCGTCAACCAGTTCGACAGGACCTTCGTGCTCGACACGCCGGTGAGGATCCTTGACATGTTGATTCTTTTCCATCTCCTATTCCAAGGATATTTTGTCCTCCTTGGCAGATGTTCCTCTTCGGCATCTTCGGGGTGCTGCTCTTCGTCTTGGCGGTGATCCTTCTACTGGTCTTCATCTCAAGGGTGGAGTTTTTCTGGATAGCGCTGTTGGCTCTGATCCTTTGTGCACTGATAGCGCTCTTCTTCCTCGTAGAGATCATGTTGGTCTTGGCGTAAGTACTCTACTTCACCCTATTTTTTTTTCATGGATCCAGAAGTGCTACTCGAACTTCAGTGTACGTCCATACTTGTATGTTCATTTAACTTCGCCTTTGAGTGTACATCCATACTTGTACGTCCATTTGACTTCGCCTTTAATTCTACGTCCATACTTATATATTCATTTGTCTTCGCCTTTGATTGTACGTCCATACGTGTATGTTCATTAGGCATCGCCTTTGATTCTCCGTCCATACTTGTACGTTCAAATCACGTTTATCTTATCTTGCACGCGGTCGCGCACATGGCTTTAAGGTTTTTTTAACTTCATTTAGGACATGTTATACATGTCTTGGAGCGCTGATAGCGCTCTTCTTCCTCCAAGAGATCATGTTGGTCTTGGCGTGAGTATTCTACTTCATTGTATTTTATTCGTGGATCCAGAAGTGCTACTCGAGCATGGCTGGAAGGTTTTTTTAATTTCACTTAGGACATGTTATACATGTCTTAGAGCGCTGATAGCGCTCTTCATCCTCGTACAAATCACGTTGTTCTTGGCGTGAGTACTCTGCTTGACCGTATTTTATCCGTGGATCCAGAAATGCTACTCGAGCATGGCTGTAATGTTTTTTTAACTTCACTTAGGACATGTTATACATGTCTTGGAGCGCTGATAGCACTCTTCATCCTCGTACAAATCATGTTGTTCTTGGCGTGAGTACTCTGCTTGACCGTATTTTATCCGTGGATCCAGAAATGCTACTCGAGCATGGCTGTAATGTTTTTTTAACTTCACTTAGGACATGTTATACATGTCTTAGAGCGCTGATAGCGCTCTTCATCCTCGTACAAATCATGTTGTTCTTGGCGAGAGTACTCTACTTGACCGTATTTTATCCGTGGATCCAGAAATGCTACTCGAGCATGGCTGGAATGTTTATTAACTTCAATTAGGACAGGTCATACATGTCTTGGTATTTCTTTTCAGGTACTGGAGGCAGCGGTATCTCTGCATGAAGAAGTGTCAACCAAATTGCAGCGCGCTGACCGATTCGAGGGTTTTTTATCAGAGGTGCTCGCCTTATCAGGGAGAAATGGAGGTAATCGTCCCCTCCTCCGAATTTTTTAAATAAATAAACCGTAACCGAAGTAAATAATTCTGGGCGATTTTCAGATCCAACGAAGTTGTCAGCTTCCAAGGACCGCGAGCAAGGCAGTCCCTGAAAAGGTGGAGGAGAAGAGGATCACCTTCGTGCAGACGGAGGAAGTGCTCCAGGAGGAAGTCGACCCTCCCGAGGTCGAAGTCGTCGAATCGGGAGAAGAACCGACACCGGTGGACGAGAACATCCAAACCGCGGTTTTCGAAAACGAGACCACGCAGGTGCAGACCGAGACCAGGGAAAGTGCCATCACCGAGGCTCAGGTTAATCCCAACTTTGCTGATGAACATCCCCTCCACCATCTATCAAATCGAAGGTAGAACATCAAACGGAAGTTCCAGGTCAGCCCTGAAGTGAGGGAGACTCCGGTCCAGACCTTCAGCAGGTGCGACCTCTGTCTTCGTCCTCTCTTCGGGCTCTGCTCGGCAAGGACCTCGACGGGGTGCCTAACTCCTGAAGAGTCCTTGCACCGATGCCAGGACACGTCGGACCTCGCGTCCTCGCAATTCCCTGGGCCTATCTACTCCGTTTTCCCTGGGGCCGTCCACCTGCTGCACACTGGGACCAACCCCTGCTGCCCCTTGTGCAAGTGCATCGGTACCAACACTCCGCAGCCCGGAACCCAGGGTGTCCTGGCACGTCCTGCGGTCCTGGACGCGTGCACCTCGGAAATGAGTGAGAAAAGGACTCGCCGAGGAGAGGCCAAGGGATCGACCTGATCTTTTTCCTGATTTTTCTTTTCCTTTTCTCGCAGACCTGGTCGTCGGTGTGCCCAATCGAAAACCCCCCAGGAAGCCTCCGAGGGTCTATGAAACCCGTAAAATCTTTCTAAATCCCCAGATCGGGACTTAGTAGGTCCCCTTTGACGGTCTTCCCTCCTTGATAGGATCTGTTCCCTAAGGTCGCTGTCCTACCCACGGGGCAGGACTCGCCGCCAGGAAGGCAGGACTCCCGGATATCGTGAACAAGGTCACTCTCCCGAGCTACCTGATTAGGAGGAATAAAAAGACCCAGACCCCCTCGAAGAAGAGCTCTCAGGACCTCGCAGGACCCGCGGAGAGGGTCCTTGACACGCGGTGAGGTCTCTTAGAGGATCCTTTTCGAGGTCGGAGCCGCCAAGTTGGGGAGTTTAGATTCTCGTTTTTTCCCTCAGGGAAGTGCAGGAAGCTGAGACAAGGGAGGAGGAATCGAAGATCGAGGAAGTCGAGGAGCCTCGACAGAAGAGTCTCCTGGACGATGGAGAGACCTCATCCTCGGAGGTGAAATCTAAAAAGCAGGAAATCGATCCGCGAGAATCCCTCGAGCGGAAGTCGACGAGAAACGGGGAGGAAAGTAAACTCGAAGAGAATCTAGAAACTGAGGATCCGAAATCGGAGGCTGAGAAGAGCGCGATGGAGGAAAAATCCCTGGAAGAGAAAAATCAAATTTCCCAATTGTCCCTCAGAAATAAAGCCGAAGATACCGTCGAGGCTGGGAAATCTGAGATTTGGAAAAGATCTCGCAACTCCGAGAGCACTTCGGAGAACGAATCGGAACCGAAATCGTCACAGAGCAAAACTGGGTCCGTAAGAGGATATGAAAGAGTCAGCCTGTATATATAGAAGAATATATATATTATATATAAGTCAAATCGTTGGGGGAAGTATTCTCCGAATTGGGTGTACCGATTCGTTTGAAATTTTCCCACGTGAATATGGAGGCCCTAAGGTAGGTCCTGATACTCATGAAATTTCATTTTTCATGAAAAATGTATTTACTACATGGACTAGAACCAAGGTGGCGTGGTCCGGGCACGTTTTCGATGTTTTACGCTTCTTGGAGGCTTAAAATTGAAAATGAAGAGTTTTTCAGGACCTAATTAAAACAATTTAGAATACCGTATAAATGGAATATTACGGAGTCAGATGGGAAAATGTGGAAAATACTTTCACCAACGATTGCAAGAGATTGCTAGTCTGTACCATGGGTAACGCGTGTTTTTAGAAAAAAAATTTAGTTGCAGCTAAACCCCACAGATGGCGACGTTGGCTCGTCAGAATGTAAAGAGTCATGAATTCATGGGATTTCGGCAGTTTTACATCGATCTTTTTATCATTATTCTCCCGAAATGACATATAGAACCCTGCAGTTCGTATAATTCTCAACGTAGACTGTAAAAGACTTCAATATAAATATAAATGTCGGTAATGGGACGCGCCAGCTTATGTTGCCACTTGAGTATTCAAAACGGCATTCCCCCAAAAAGGGTATAGATGAATTTTACTTTATCGACGTCGATGAAATTTCTTAGCGCCTTTCATATCCTCCTAAGCAGAGAAAATGATAGTCATGAGTTTAAGATGTAAGAAATTATCCAACCTATTTTCAAGGATCTACCTCCTGCAGATCGAAAATGGACCGACTGACGAAGCTCTTCGAGAGGAAGAATAAGGTCGACCCCGCGAAACAGGACGACGCTTCTAGGTACACGTGACATTGAAATCAAAGTTTATACATATTAAATATTAAAAAAAAAAAAAAACAGAAAATGTTTACAATTCGGTGTCAGTCCAACGCAGGACGCATTTGGCCAGATGAGCTCCCAGGGGATTTTGGAAACCTGGAACTCGGATAATCCTCAGGTGAAAGATTTTCTATATGCCAGGAGTGAACAATAAATATTGACATTTGTAATAATTCTACAACAGGCGAGCGGGAATTTCTTCACGAGTAGGAGGTCCTGCGAGGAGCGTTGCGAACGTACGGTGGGTGGAGATTTTAAATTAAATAATAAATAAATAAAAAACCGAGGGAATTAAATAATTAAACTCGTCACAATAATCCTTATAGATCCAGCAAGCTCGTGCACCACCTCCGTGCAGTTACGTAATTCGAGGCATGAACGAAAGCGAGTACTTCGCGCCTTACGGCAACAGGATGATCCCTGTAAGTCGGATAAATAAATAATAAAAAAAAATATATATATAAAATCGTAACAAAATAAATTGCACCTTAAGTGAAGATAAATAGAAAAATTCACTTTCCACCTGCAGGTACATCGCTATCCTGCTTGTCCTGGGAGGATGTTCAACTACCCCCAGTGTCAACCCCAATTACCGGTACGTACTTTTCTCGGGTCCTTTGATAAGATAACACGTCCTCATTGATTTCAGACTTGTCACAACTATTCTGCCTCGTTCCCGACATTCATCCACTTTCCAGTTTGCGTGAGTGATCCTCGCTTTTTCGAATAGGACCAGGATTATCTAATTAAACGAGTCCTTTTTTACAGCCGGCGAAGGAGCAACCCTCCCCCCGGAACTCGTCGAAAAAGTAGTGATCCACTAATTAGGGTATCGGGGGGAATTAATCATTAATTATTAGTCACCAGACATGAATTCTAGAGATTAACTCCAGAGAGGGGATTTCCGAAATTGGATTTATTCCTTAATCAAAGGAGGTACATCGCTCGCGACGTGCGCAATCAGTGAGGGGTACAAAGGCTGAGTAAAATCCGCGACAATGGTTACTGTTAATAGTTATTCTAATAAATACAGATAGTATAAAACGTGAGTGTCCTATGGGCACATCCAGGCCGTAGAATGGATTGAGCACGGCGTCGATAATATATATATATATATATATATATCAGCTGGAACGTCAATTATTAATTACTGGTTGTTCGATTATCGTGATTACGTCGATCGTGGAAAAGAATTATGTAAAATAGATCTTAGGACTAATATGGAATTACAAGCTCTGCGTTGTCGTGCCTTAACGCGTGTAAATAAAATGAATTGTTTCCTCCCAATGGGACACTTTTCAAAAAAAGGAAGAAGAGATGCATAAGATAAATTAAAAGGAAAAAAATATATATATATCAGGCACGAGAAACGAGATAATGTATAATCGCAGGGGATATTCGAAAGGCTCTCGGAGCGTACTCCAAAATTCGCCGGTTTTTTCTCCTGAAGCGATAAAAAAATTTCTTGGATTTTTCATGATATCGAACAATTATCGTAGAGTTAATCTAATAGCGTGATATAATAGTAGCATAATATAATGATAGCATAATTAATTTCAAATTCTTTTTTCCTGCCTCTCGTTGCAGACCCTCGTCTTTATGAAAAATCACTTGAATCGAGTTTTTGCAAATTGTGGGCAGGGAAAAATTCATTAAGCAACAATTTATACCGTGCAGTCCAAAATTCGCCGGTTTTCTCCTGAAGCGATAAAAAAATTTCTTGGATTTTTCATGATATCGAACAATTATCAGGATATAATAGTAGCATAATATAATGATAGCATAATTAATTTCAAATTCATTTTTCCTGCCTCTCGTTGCAGACCCTCGTCTTTATGAAAAATCACTTGAATCGAGTTTTTGCAAATTGTGGGCAGGGAAATATTCATTAAGGAACAATTTATACCGTGCTGTAGATCCGAAAAGGATCAATTGTTCGAGATGAACTTTTCGGAAGAGCGATTCAGGATCGGCCTTCCGGCTCGCGGGGTCGGATTATCCTGCGAATATCCACGAAGGATCTCGGTGAAAGGACCTCCAGAGTAAAAATCGGAGACGGCGCTTCCGGCGGAAGGATTGCCTCGAACAATCGGAGGATTCTGATAATTATCGACTTTTCGAAAATCCGAGGAAACCGGGATCCAATCGATTTTATTCGATAGATTGCCAAACGGAAGGCAATTGGTCCTTTTAATCGGGATTTTCGGGGAATAATTGTTATCCGACTGTAGATGCAGGACGCGAGGTCCCACCTGGGATCCTTCGTGAAGGACCTCCAGGTGTGGGGGATCCTGTGGTTGCATGGGAAAAGGGAAGCTCTGCAGATAATTTCCGTTTTGATTGTTTGAAACGGGCAGAATGTTTCTCGCGGGGCTTGGAGAAGGTCCTTGGTTCCATGGTCGGTGGAAGGTCCTTGGGAGATCAAGGATACCTCGTTGGTCAATTTTATCGATTATCCAGGGATCGGTGAAGGAAGACGGTCTTAATCGAGGCTTGAGTCGATCGATGTACAGGTATCCAGTGGATCGGAGGTCCTGCAGGATGTTCTCGGACTCTCCCCGGGGATCCTGGAAGAGTCCCCGAGGAAATCCTTCGGGATTCTCCGACGAGTCTGCCGCATCCTCTGTCAGGACTTCCAGCAGGTTCCTTCGCAGATCCTTGTTAACGTTCCTGCAGGACCCGAGGTTTCGGATCGCCTGGACGTTCATCGAAGGATTCTTCGAGAGGTCCTTTCCATTCTCCAGGCTCACCTTCTCCAGCAGCTTCGGCAGCTGATTTTCCCCAGGATTCCAGGGATCGAAATTATTGAATCTCTCGGCGAGCATCCCCGAGAGGTCCTGCTCGTTCTCTCTCTCCTCGAGGATAGTAGATTCTTCCAGGACGAGTCCTGTGGAACCGCCCGAAGCTTCGCTCCCGAGATCCTCTCCCTTTTCTCGAAAAGGACGATTCCCCGAAGGATTCAGATTTTCGTATACGAAATTCACGACCCGACTCGGCGGCGACATGGAATAATCCGAGAAATTTCCATTCACGTCCTGGAGGTCCTTGTTCTGGCGACGCCTCGCATATCTCGAGGAGGTCGATCCTGGGAACCTTCGCCTGGATCCCGATGACTTTTCCTGCTTATCGGATTTCCCTCGGGAAGTGCCACCCTCTTTGTTCGAGGAAAGCATCCTGTTGGCGTTCTGCCGACGCCCTGGTCCTTGCAGGACCTTCAAGGATCGGTTCTCCTCCTTCGTTCCCTTCTTCAACTGGCCCTTCGACGCCAGTCGGTCCTCTTCCAGATAGTTTTTGATGCTGGTCTCCAGAAACTCATCCTGGATTTTCCGCCGAAAGGACTTCTTCTTGTCCATCCCGATGGTCGTCCTTGTTATCACCACGTTGCCCTCTTCGTCGCACACGCCGCACTCCTCGATCTTGTTGCAGATTGTTTTACAATATAGGAATTAATATCTCCGACGCCAGATTTATTCCCTTTCGCCCAGGGAAATTCATTTCCTCGAGTCGAAGAGTAAGGAATGGAAAGACTACATGGGAGGAGCGAGGAAGGAGATTTTCCGGATTTCATTTTTCATTTTTCTCATTTTTTATTTATACTTTCCTATTGTTTTGCAGATTACGCGGCAGTGGCGCAATCGTTCCATTGCCACATCTCGTGATAAACTTATCCAACATCCTTCGGATTGAGTAACCCAAGATAGTACCGAAGATGACCCCGCGTTAACCTAGCTTTTCGAAATGCCCTCGATTAACGAAATTTTCCCCTAGAAATTATTAATTTTCCTAAACATGGGAATTGGTCACTCAACAGGTGCATGGATACGTCCGATCAGGGTTTGGTAATTTCGCGTTTTTCAGTTTTTCTTTTTTTTCCCCAAGGTTTTCCATTATATAAACCAAGTAGTTTAATGATAGATTAATTTGAAGCTTGCTTTCAACAATTTTTTAGAATTATGTTCCCAATATGGCGGACGTCGCAGATATAGGATATATGTATCCGGTAGGTTATAATCCTAGTAGCACAAAATATTTATCCTATATTTTCTATATATTTAACGAATATCGTATATTTTGTAAATATTTTGCAAAAATTTGAAATATTTGCTAATCGTTTTCTTTAGAATATTACCTTTATAACATTTGTATATTAGCTCCATGTGTTTTCATCTTTTTCTAACGGATATACAAAACATTTCGTTTCATTTTAATATGAGTACTTTTTTAAATATTACCTACCGAATACATTGTAAACGTTTTAAAATTATTTAAAATCATAATCACACGATTTTCCCACGTTATGAAATAGCGGAACGAAAGTATTACAAAAACTTGTCGTGTTTCTTGTTACCAGATAAAGTGTACCATAATAATCGTGAACAAAAAAATGTATTTTTATTTGACGTTCATAAATTAAAAAAAATTTAATTCCTCTATACGTTTATAAATTATTGAGACTAAACATGCCATTGAAATGATCAATAAACATTTCCGATATCTTCGAATGAAATCTACAATACATTTTAAAAAATCCGCCGCTTGAGATATTTAGCAAAGATTGCAAAGAAATATTTAGAAATTATTCTAAGCTACTAGGGTGTCTCTTAGTGTATGTGTAAACACGCAAACATTTTTTCAGGAATAATTTCTCGCTCGAATTCGAAATTCTTTCGACATAACTCTGTCTAGCATGAAATTTGACATGACGTATTATATTTACCCAACCCTACGTCCGACATATTGGGGATGAAAATAGAAAATAGGGGGATTCTAAGGACGAACCATCTCGGCCTTGGCAAGGTAGACCCAGAGCCGGCGCCACGTGGTGAACTTTTTCTGCTCCCCAAAATTGTAGCGCATCTCCTTCGAGGCGTATCTCGTGCTTAGGGGACTCCTGTAGTCACAGTAAACGCTCCTCTCCATTTTTTTACGAATCTCGTAAACCCTCCCGATCGCGAAAAAATACTCGAGAAAACTCCCTTCTTACGCCCGGCCGAACGGTTAATGGAGTCGCGATCAGCTGATCGCTACTACTGGAGCATGCGCGAGCGAGGTGCGCAGTGGAGCGTCATTCATGCCGCGGCTAAGAGCGTGCCGTCATCTGGTTACTACCGTTCGAACTACTCTCCTGGTATTTTCGAGAGATATCCAGAGGAATGGATTGAAATATTAATTCTCCAGATTTAATTACGGAATATCTGCTTCCTATCTCGAGTTCGAGGGGTTAGTATCGATTTTTTCACGATAGGGAGAGATATGACGAAGCTTGACAGTCGGTAACTTACTCGGGAAGTCGGTAGCGTTTGGAGGTAATATTGGAAAAGACGATGGCGGAATTTCATTTTGAAATTATTCCTTTTTCTCGGCTCACGGGGGAATTTACGAGGAATTATTGGAAATCCTTTCGAAGGAGATCCCATGAGAAGTACTCGAAGGAGAGTGCGTCCCTGTATGAACCTGGAGTTCAATTTGAGGGACTAACAAAATTAACAGATTTATTGGAACATTTTTCTGATGTACACATTTGTGTCATGTTCAGTTTTGTTCGTGGCATTTTTTTTTTTTTAACAAAAACAAGAGCTGTTCATATGAGATGTGAAAGTGGCGTTGAAGAGGTTTTGTTTATTAAACTTTTCTCCCAAATGGATTTACCGAATAGTTTGAAACTTTACAACGTGAATAGGGAGACTATAAGGAAGGTCCTGAAACTCATGAAACTTCAATTCTTCTCAAATTTGTTTATAGGTATTTTAAAAATAGTTTATAAAAAATGAAATTTCGGGAGTTTCAGGACCTACCTTAGGGTCTCCATATTCACGTTTAAAAGTATGATACGATTTGAGACACCCAGTTCTATGAAAAGTTTTATGAACGATTGAGCTTTCGGGTGCCACTTTCACATCCCCTTAATTTTGTTAGTGCCTCAAAAATTGGATTCCATGTTCACCGAGCCAGAGTGCGCTTCAAGGTACCCACGAGGTACCCACGTCCTCGTTTTCACCTGGAGTGGCCAAAACCCATTGTTCTAGGTGGACTTCAGGGCCGCAGGAGAACTTCTCCATCCTCGGCTCGAGAATTATCTGCCACTTGCGAAACTCTCCTTCTTCCTCTCTCCCCTCGTTTCGGAGAAAATGTAGAATCTAACCGAAGGGATTTCAGGATCTTAACTTACCACATTGATCGGCATCATGTCAGGATGTGCCCAGTCGATGCTGACCTCGGCACCCTTGATAAGGCACCCCCTGTCGGGGACCAATCTCCTCCTGGCCATGGCGGCTCCTCTATGGGTCCTATAGGAAATCAATGCGTATCTGGCCTGGCCATTGGAGTTCCGGTAGACCGCCACCTTGGCGACCTCGTCCGTGATGGAGTAGACCTCCTGGAAGATGGGTCCACGAGTGAAAAAACAAAGGAAACAATCTAAGTGGTTCGATGTCATTTCCTTTTCGAGATAAGTGACCGGAGAGGATGATATATATATGTTACGGTGAAACACCCAAATCTGGAGAATGTCGACTTTCACCGGTGAGTTTCAACATTCACATAGTCGCTTAGTGTATGTCCGAAATATTTGCTAAATACCCTTATTTCTGACTTACACCGGTAAATGTTGACATTCACCGGTGTGTGATTGTCGACACACACTGGAGAGGGTCCGAATGTACAACAATGTAATGCAATATTCGATCTTTCACCGACGTATTTGGTATCTGTTAACATTCACCGGTGAAAGTCGACATTCTCCAATTTCGGTCATTCACGGTAACATATATATATATATAAAGGAAATGATCTCGAACCCCTTGGATTGTTATATATATATATATATAATCTTCTATATATAATATATATCGTCCGTGATGGAGTAGACCCTCTGGAAGATGGGTCCACGAGTGAAAAAACAAAGGAAACAATCCAAGGGGTTCGAGATCATTTCCTTTTCGAGATAAGTGACCGGAGAGGATGATATATATATATATATCTTCTATATATAATAGATAGATGATATATATATATCATCTATATATAATATATACGTATATACACAATTATATATATAGTTTTGCAGACCTTGACAACGGTCTCGGTCTCGACGTTGCCAGGAAGCTGTCCCAGGCAGAGGCGACAATTGTTGATGCTGGCCACGACGCCGATCCTGCGCCCGGGTCTGATCTCGAAGTTGTCCAGCTCCCGAATCGCCCTCTTGGCGTGCTCCCGGTTGGAGAACATCACGAAGCAGTACCCTCGGTTCGCCCCGGAGAAGTCCATCATCAGTCTGATCTCGTAGATGTCGCCGACAGCCTGGAAGATGGGGTAGATCTCGTGCTCGTAGAGGGTCCTCGGGATCTTACCGACGAAGACCTCGCAGTCCGGTCCAGGAGGTGGTCCCGTCCAACCTGGAGGTGGTCCCAGCTTCCGCTGACCGTTCACCTGGGTCATCGTGAATTTCGAGTCGGTTACCAGCTGGAGAACCAGCTTGCTCGTCTCCATCTGCTCCTCCAGGGTCGGGATGCGGCTCTTCGGGGTGTCCAGGCTCCCGCGGCGAGAGTGCTCCGAGCCCTGGTCTGCAAGGATGTTAATAAGGAAAAGGATTAGACATAATTCACGCACTTTGTCATTTTTTTTCTCTTTTTGTATTTTGGAAGCTGATTCAATGATTACCGGATCGGGCCCTGCTGACGCCGCGACGGGTGGGCCGCTGGGGTAGGTCCTTCCGCTGGTCGTACCAGGACCTCCCCTCGTCGTCCTGGACCACCGAGACTCTCCGACGATCCCCCATCTCGTTCCCCAGGTTCCCCATGTTCCTCCAGAGGACTCTGTCGATCCGGAACTGACCCCTCTGGCTCGGATCCATCGAACTCGAAATCATCGCCTGGAAGGGAAGGACCTCGGGGTGATATCCTGCCAGGACACTGGGTACGTGGACCCCTCTCGAGGAAAGTTCACTCACCGATACTCAACTGTCATTCGCTCGGGTCCAGAATCTCGGAGACTCGTATTTGGATATGCAAATCAGAGAATCCTGGGAGAGGGCGGAGGTTCGCCAGGACTTCCTTTCCTTCCTAGACTACGGGAAGGCTTCTATCTCTTATCTAGGGAACCCGAAATACCGCCACCTTTTGGAAAACACCTGGTATAGTCGACCCTCCTTGGGGCTCGGTGCCCCCGTAGCGGTAATTCCTATCAATTGTTATCAAGGGTGGCTTTTATTACCCCAGGACTCGGGATCTCGATCCAGGGATCCTGGGAGATCGGATATCCGGATCTGGACCCTTTCGGTCGATGCTCGAGGACGACTGGATGCTGCGCCCGGTCCATGTGACGAGTCGAGATGAGCGCCGGCTCTCGGCCAATCAGAGCGCGCCGTTTCCCCTGGAGCCGTCCGATTGACCCCCACCCCGCTCCACGACGGATCCAACGGAAATCTGATCGAGATAAAGGAATGCTTGCATCCGATCGACAAAGGAACGTCTTCTTTTTCTCGATTCTTCTCGCTAATCTCTTTCTCTCCTTACCCAACACATTGACGCACCATCCCTAGTAGCAGGAAATATTCCTCCCATGTTTTTTATACATTTAACGAATTTTCTAAATATTTAGCAGACATTTTTGATGATGTTTGCGAAAGGTTTACTTTAGAATGTCATCTCTGTATTTGTATAGTATTTGCTCCACGCGTTTTCATATTTTTTCTTACGGACGTACGAAACATTTAGCTTAATTTTAATGTAAGTACTTTTTTCAATATTATCTGACGAATACATTGTATACGGTTTGAAAAGATTTAATATCAAAATCACACTTTTGCTCCCATAATGATATGCCGGAACGAAAGTATTACGAAAATTTGTCGGGGTTTTTGATACTAGATTAAGTGTCCGATTATAATCTCGAAGGAAAAAATGTACTTTTATTAGATGTTTAATGTGTTTTTATTGTATATATATAAAGACGCGGAACTTATCCGATTAAAATGACACCTTATCGAATTTCGACCGAGCCGGGCTTTAATCCTCTGTCACGTCAGGTGACAACAGGGAGAGCGAAAATCTACGCTCTTTTGTCTCCTCTTCTTTTTTGTTTCTCCTTCTCCGGATATTTCTGAGATTCCTCGAATTCCGGAAAAAATAAATATCGGACCCTCGGAGATCGAGAACGATCTCGACCTTTGATTTTCTCCTCTCGAGATCTGCATCCTTTTCCGAAAAATGTGTCTGCAAGAAATTAATCTTTTGTCTCGAGATCGTGAATTTTCATTTGTTTAAACGTGCATAATCTGTAACCTTATAATCTTAATCCTTTTCCGGAAAATGTGTCTCTGAAAGAAATTAACCTTTTGCCTCGAGGTCCTGATTTTTCATTTGTTTGAACATGCATAATCTGTAACCTTATAATTTGCATCCTTTTCCGGAAAATGTGTCTCTGAAAGAAATTAACCTTTTGCCTCGAGGTCCTGATTTTTCATTTGTTTGAACATGCATAATCTGTAACCTTATAATTTGCATCCTTTTCCGGAAAATGTGTCTCTGAAAGAAATTAATCTTTTGTCTCGAGATCGTGAATTTTCATTTGTTTGAACATGCATAATCTGTAACCTTATAATCTGCATCTTTTTCCTTGAAAAATGTGTCTGCAAGAAATTAATCTTTTGTCTCGAGATCGTGAATTTTCATTTGTTTGAACGTGCATAATCTGTAACCTTACGAGGAGTCTCTCTCTCTGCAACAGTGTAGGTCGATCAACCTGCGATCCAGATTTTCGATTAAACCCCTCGAATTGGCATTCCTGAGATGGGTCCAAGGGGGGACATCTCGAACTATGTTGCCGGATGCCAAAGCCACGCACGTGTATATTCTCTGTGTCAAGAGCCGAGATTTCTATGTGTTAAGTACACCACCATAGCCCCATGTACGAGGTGCTCCTTCTTTGTCTCGAATGTTGACTCGATTTCGGGTGGCGATATTCACCTTGAGAGATGGCTGGGGAATAAAGAGGATTTATCTAAATACCTACGTTTTTAAATCCACAGCTGGGTCAAATTGTATTGGGTATTGTACTAAATGGCATGCTCCACCTGGGAATTTTATTTCTCTAAATTCCTTCAATATTTTAGGGTCAAGTGAACTCCCCCCTCAAATCAGTCGATTCTAATGAAACACTTTTTTTTTTAACCTTTTCGCTACTAAGAGCGCCTAAAGGCGCTCGACGTTTGGTCTAATATTGCCTGCATGGTCAGACGAATTTCGCCCATATGTCGAGATGGCTCCGTGTTCAAAGGCTCCGGGTTAAGGTAAAGTGAAACACGTTGAGGAATTTAATCAACGTTGGTAGAAAAGATTTATTTAAATACCTACGTTGGCCGACGTTCATTTTTATATTGACAGGTGTACCAAATTATGTTGGGTATTGTATCAAATGGCATACTCCACCTGTCGTTTTCCTATAATAATTATAAAGAAATCGAAATAAAACTCCAGAAATTCTCTGGATTCATGTTTTCCGAGACCCTAATTGACTTCAGAGGGACCCCCTGCGCCATCTGTGATTTCTATGTCAACTAAATCTTCACTCCGAGACTTCGTATTACCATCATTTTGGCACAGAATTGTATAAAACACTTTTTTTGCCTTTATCTCGTTCAAATGCGAGTTTATCGATTACCAGAGTGTTTTAAATAGTCGTAAAATTGTCTTGACCCTTTCGCTTCTAATATCAAAGCCTTCGATAATTGTATATTGATCGAAATATGAGAGCTCGACGCCATTTCGGTTCTGGTTTGGGTTGAGTTAAAAAATGTTTTCCAAAAATCCAAATTTTGAACGTGTCAGGGCAATTCTTAGATGATCAGGAGTGACGTGTCAAAGTTTCGGACAGTTTGGTCTAATACCCTTAAAAAACAGTGTTGCATTCGAATCGACTAATTTGATTACAGTTAAAAAATGTATTCAAAAAATCCAAATTTTGAACGTGTCAGGACAATTCTTAGATGATCAGGAGTGACGTGTCAAAGTTTCGGACAGTTTGGTCTAATACCCTTAAAAAAAAGTGTTGCATTCGAATCGACTGATTTGAAGGGGGTTTCACTTCACCATAACCCTTTAATCGCAGAAGACACTCCTCGTGTCACCTACCCGACAAAGCTTGGGAATTGCGTTATCGCGAACGACGTCGTTGTCCGTAAACGTCGCCGGACGAGGTTTGCGTTTTCTCGCCTCGTCCACGTGAGACACGTGGAAACGAGGACTTTTCTACGCCAATGTCTCACACGATAATGGGACTGTTGAAAGTACACGCAGGCCTCGTTACGTGTCACGGTCCGTGTGCGACAGCAAGTACCTCCTCAGTTGTCGAAAGACCGCAAACCACGAGCGATCCTCGTCTCGCGTTTTCCGATTTTCGCCTAAAAAAATAAACAAAAAGAAATAAAATAAAAGTGAAGTAAAAAAGATAGGCAAGTCTCCGCAGAATAATAAAAAAAAAGGAACATGACGTCGGTGTCGAGGTACTCGGCGGAATTTCAGGAATTAGAGACTCCAACTATGTGAATAAGATAATTGTACCGAGGAAGTGCAATTGCGATTTTCGCATAAAAAAATAAAAATAAAATAAAAGTGAAGTAAAAAAGATAGACAAGTCTCCGCAGAATAATAAAAAAAAAGGAACATGACGTCGGTGTCGAGGTACTCGGCGGAATTTCAGGAATTAGAGCCTCCAACTATGTGAATAAGATAATTGTACCGAGGAAGTGCAATTGCGAACCGAGTGGGAGATAGAAAAGAGAGGAGAGGAGAGAAATTCGTAGATAGGGTAACTAGAGGAATCATGTGGAACCCTAAGGTGTGCGTAAGGATCGTCGAGGTGGTACGTGGGGATTTAAGGGTTTGTTCAATTGTTTATGGTCTGGAGAAGGGGGAGTAAGGTGGTACTTTTTTCTTATTTTCAGTTATTGTGTCTCTCGTGTGTGGTGGCCCTCAGGGTGACGGACGACGAGAGCTGGTGGGTCATACGATACAATCGAAGTCGCAGCCAGGAGTGGTCCATCCTCGACAACGTCACCTGGGGAGCCATAGGTCTCTGGCTGATTTTATCCCCCTGGGGGAAGTTATTCCGAAAAGAATTCTTTCCTTTCATCAATCCCGCCTTTTCATGTGCTTTCAGGTGCAGCGTTAGCCACGGCGACCTGCGCAGGATACTTTATCGTCACTTTCGGCCTCCTTTTGGCTGCTGCGACCGGAGAGTTGTCCGGTCGGAAGACCGTAAGTTGATGTATGGAAATAATTTTCTTCATTTTCCCACGGGATACCAGTGGACCTTATACTTGGCCTCGTTTGACTGCGGCATAAATAGCCGGGAAACGGTAGCGTGAGAAGGTAGTGTGGCAACGCTACGACGTAACCAGGGTGGTGGCCAAGAGGTTGACATTGGAGAACAAGGATACGCAAGTAGAAACCGATTCCTCGGTAGAAGATGACGTCTCTCCGAGGCACAACGTCGCATCTCACTAGCGATCTCATTATCCGCGTAATACGTCGACAATTATAACGGAATGACTCATAACAAGAGGTGGATTATCCTTCGAACCCGCCTTATCCTTGGTCCGCGGTGTGGGGACCGGTTGCGCCCGACCGCGGATTTGTCCGCCATTTTTCTTCGATCTCGAGGGCTTTTCGAGAAAATCCATAGAGGGGATTTCTCTCGGCGACGTCGGTGGCTACAACTTTTCCCTTTGACAAAATGCTCCAGGACCGCTGGTTTAATTGATCTTGAATTTTTTCTTCCCCTACTTTTCTAGGAATGCTTCTTCCTGGTCCTGGGAGTGATCCTCTTCGCGATTGTCGGCGGTCTCGCTTTGTCGGCCATTGATAAGGTTCCCTCGGATCTTGTCGATAACGCTGCCGTTTTGGGGGCTCTCTGTCTGGTGACTGCTCTGGTTTTCATCGGCGACATGCTGATCAGCCCCCCGAAGAGGAAGAAGATCCACGACGGGACTCAGACTTCCTTCGAGAAGGACGCAGGCAAGTCCTGAAATGGAACTTTACTTTTACCGAATGCACTTTGTTCATCCTTGAGATGTTAACTGAATAAAAGAAATGCGTCCGCCCTTGAAGAGACAGTTTTTACTCCCATTGTTTGTTCCGATTTCTCCTTTATCGGCCTTCAAGGGATCTAACGATCTAGGCACGTGTCCTTAAGGTCGCGTATCGATCGAAAACACTCGAAGACCCCATCGATCGTTCCTCATGTTTCAACGAAACCTCTCCTTTCAGAGAAATCGTCCACCGTGATGGTTTCCCTGGAGAAGGAGCCGAAAAACAAACCCGCAAACGCCCGGATGAGTTCTGAGAGCGGAAACGTGAACGGAGGATTCGAAAAACTGGAGGACAGGTCGCAGGTGAGATTCAAGAGTCCACGTGAGCAAGTGAATTATTTTCTTTTTTTTGTTAATTTTATTTCCAGTGGTCCTGAGATTTTTGCCATTGTTTAAATTCCCAGGACTCGACGGGCTCTCCGCGCCCAGAAAGGATCTCGAGGAGGATCTCGGATCCTGAAGAGGAGAGGAACCGAAATTTCGACCGCGTGGAGAGACAGCTGAGGGAATACACCCAGAATTCCGAAAACGGTCGAGTCCTGAGGGACTCGCAGAGGATTCGGGAGGCCGAGGAGATCCTGCAGCGCGCCAGGAGGAGCGAGGCGGGATATCACCTCGAGGACATCTACAGGAGGCCCGTAGACGAGGTCGACACTCCACCTTTTCCGAGCCTCGAAAAGGACGAGGTGGTATTTCCGAAAATCGTTAACCCGGGAGTGAAAATCATGCGCGTAGAGAGGGACGACGACTACAGGTAAGCCCGAGTCCTGGGGAAAGGACTGAATTTTTATCAGCGCTCTTTTAGAATTTTCCCAATTTTCGGGTCCTTTTTCTATTTCTTCTCTGAGTAGATACTCCGACTCGAGTCAGTACGATAACGTGCCGACGAGGATGCGAGGACAGTCCCAGGGGATCCTGAAGAAGAGGGACGTGTCCTTCAGCGTCCCTCCGCCCCCGAAAGGATACGGCGACAGGACGAAAGACGAGATCGAGATGCTGGAGGAGTGCTTTGGCGCTATCAGGACCACGACGGGCACGCAGATCGGAAATCGGGACGGAAGGACTCCTTCGACCCCGATCGATCCAGGATACGTTCGCCATACTGCCAGCAACTGGCCCCAGGACATGAAACCAAAAACTCCCGGTTCCAGTCCTGACCACTCGAGAATCCACTGAGAGGTCCTTCTTACCCTCCCATATGTTCTCGTCTAATAAATTCGGGTGGTGCCCTCCCTTTTTCGTTTTAATATCCGAATAATCCAAGGACGAGAGGAGATTACCAGTGGAAGAAGAGAAAAAAAGAAATAAAAATGACGTTCAATTTCTAATATAAGTGAAAATTCATTTTTAATCTCTATCTCGTCATACATGGATTGCGCGTCGCGGTGGCGATAGCAATACTTAATCGCAACGTTGTTAGTCCTCGTTGAAACTCGTTAACGATTTTTAACCATTAGTTATTAGTGTGTCTCGTACATGCCTCTCGCTCCTTCTCGGCGCTAATTAGTTAGTTCTTCTCTTTTCTTACACTTAATAAATAAAAACGCTCCGACTTAACAATGTCCAGCGATCGGTACGACTGCTCAGGTTCATCCCCGCCAGAGAAGACCGTGATAAAAAAAAATGAAGAAAAAAAAAAGAAAAGAAGAAAATTCGACTCGATCCTGTCGATCGCTCGACAGATTCCGCTAACGTTGACTGTCTCTCCTCTCCGCGAAAGAGGAAAGATAATCTAAGCGACAGGAGGATCGAAACTCGAGATTTCTTCCCGCAGGACCTCTTTGCGTTAGTTAAGTGATCGCGAGGAGGGTATAAAAAGGAGATAATAAAATAATAACTTGCGTAGCGCTAAAGGGCTTAATCCTAGACGGGACATCGGGGATGTCCTTTACGGGTGTAGATCCTATCTATCCGCGTCTAATCGATCCTACGCGTATTTACAGTGCCGAATGCAGTCTGACTCCTTGGAAATCGTTTGTAAGCCACATTTTCCCTGCCTTTCTCGTCCGTTCTTTATACACTTCCCGTGCGCAATTCTTCCGCGCAGGCTCTTCTTCAGGGTCCTCTTCGGGACGTTGTTTCCCGGTTAACGAGCTCGGATCGAAGGATCTTCCTCGGTCTATCTCAGGCCGAAACCGACTCCTGTCACCTGTCCATTCGTCGTCCTTTGCTCCATCGTGATGTACTGACGGATTAGTCGGGATATCTCGTGGGCCTGCTCGGTCTGCAACCTGGTGATCCTCTGCTGCATCAGGTTGCCGCACTTCATGTCCAGATACAGGGTCCCCTCTTCGGATTTCACCTTCCTCGTCGATATCACCTCGGAGTAGGGGTAGTGGTACAGGGTCTCCTGGGAATAAAATGAAGAATTAGGACCTCCTCGGTGTAGGGATTAAAAAAGGGCTGTCGAAGGTCCTACGTGGGTGACGAGGTCGATGAAGTGGACGCCGTGGCGGTTCAGGGCCAGGATGTGATCTCCTCCCTTTTCCTTGCCCTCAGGGACCCTCTTCACCGCGAAGAAGCTCGACCCGAAGAGCGGCCACTTGGACAGGATCTCTGGAGAGGGAGAACCAGGCTCGATAAGGATTTTTCCAGTCCGGAAAGACATGTTCATCCTCTTCGAGGACCTTTACCTAGGACTTGGGCTTTGGTCCCGGCGGCGGAAATGTGCTGGACGCTGGTCCAGGCTTGCTGGACCATGTTCGCCCATTGCTGGGGCCTGGGGTCCCTCAGACTCAACGCCGGCTTTGGCAGCAAGTACTTGATGTCTTTGGTCGAGGGCTCGTGGGTCATGTCCGCTGCTCGGTGGAGGAGAGCCGCGACCTGGGCCATGTCGTACTGGAAATAATTCGTATTAATTTGGAGGTAACACCGGATGCTGGTAAGACGGTGTCTCGAGGAAGCCCGGAGGGTAATTCGACTTACGATCACCTCCTGAGATAGGTGCTCCCCGGGGATCACCAGGAGAAGACCCTCCAAGTAGTCCGGCACTATCTGGTTGAAGACCACCTCTATGTAGAGCGGCGTGTCCAGCCTCAAGGGGAAGTACCAGACGGACCTGGAGAACGTCGTCGTTATGCCACAGACAATTGAGCCGTTTATTTTGAAAGTGGCGTAAGTCGATTTAAAAAAAAAATCGAGTTAGCTGCCTTAATAGTTACATTTTTACATGATCTTTTCATTCTGAAGCAACTTGTTACTAATATATTTAAGATCATAAATATTTTGTAATACGAAAATTTGCTGGGTTAATGAAGTTATGAAGAGGTTTATTTTGAAAGTGGCGTAAGTCGATTTAAAAAAAAAATCGAGTTAGCTACCTTAATAGTTACATTTTTACATGATCTTTTCATTCTGAAGCAACTTGTTTTTAATATATTTAGGATCATTAAGATCTTGTAACACGAAAATTTGCTGGGTTAATGAAGCGATGAAAAAGTTTATTTTGAAAGTGGCGTAAGTCGATTTAAAAAAAAATCGAGCTAGCTACCTTAATAGTTACATTTTTACATGATCTTTTCATTCTGAAGCAACTTGTTACTAATATATTTAAGATCATAAATATTTTGTAACACGAAAATTTGCTGGGTTAATGAAGCGATGAAAAAGTAAATTTTGAAAGTGGCGTAAGCCTATTTATAGCCATGAAAAACATATTATTTCTTAAATAATGTTAATTATGCTAATCGGGATGATCAATTTAACTCTTAGAAACCCAAAAATATTATTCTATATTATCTGTTCCCCATATATTGAAATATAATCCAACGCAAACCCTTCGATATCTCTATTAGAACCTAAATGGACTTACACCACTTTGAAAATAAACGGCTCAATTAATAATTTAAATTTAATCCAACGCAAACCCTTCAATATCTCGACTAGAACATAAATGGACTACGCCACTTTCCAAATAAACGACTGAATTAATAATTTAAATTTAATCCAACGCAAACCCTTCAATATCTCGATTAGAACCTAAATGGACTTACGCCACTTTGAAAATAAACGGCTCAATTAATAATTTAAATTTAATCCAACGCAAACCCTTCAATATCTCGACTAGAACATAAATGGACTACGCCACTTTCCAAATAAACGACTGAATTAATAATTTAAATTTAATCCAACGCAAACCCTTCAATATCTCGATTAGAACCTAAATGGACTTACGCCACTTTGAAAATAAACGGCTCAATTAATAATTTAAATTTAATCCAACGCAAACCCTTCAATATCTCGACTAGAACATAAATGGACTACGCCACTTTCCAAATAAACGACTGAATTAATAATTTAAATTTAATCCAACGCAAACCCTTCAATATCTCGATTAGAACCTAAATGGACTTACGCCACTTTGAAAATAAACGGCTCAATTAATAATTTAAATTTAATCCAACGCAAACCCTTCAATATCTCGACTAGAACATAAATGGACTTCCGCCACTTTCCAAATAAACGACTGAATTAATAATCGTTATCACGGGGTTATCCAATCCCACCTGCAGAATATCAGACAGAACATCAGGTGGTTCTTGTGCAGCTCGGTCGTCACGTCCAGGACGTACTCGCCCCTGGCGAGGGGCATGTTGAACGCGTCTCCGTCCACGATGCAGTAGAGCGAGAACTCGTCCATTTCGTTCGGGTTCCTCACGGAGATGGCGCTACACATCTCCTCGATGACGTCCTGAAGAAAAAGGCTTTTGAAGGAGTCCGTTTTTCGAATAAATGTCCAGGGTCCTCACCTGCACGACGGTGGTGCACTTGGTGTTGATCACTCGTTCCGTTCCACCCGGGAGTCGGTAGATCTGCCTCTTCGCGTTCCTTCCGGCGCTGATCGCCATGATCTCCTCGACACTGGGGACGCTCTTCCTCCCGCCATATTTCACGGTCTTCCTCAGGTTCTGCAGACACACCGTGGCGGTCCCGTGGTAGGCGCGCCTCTTGTCGTAGGCTGCGGTCTCCAGGTACTTCGTCAGGTACGGTCGGAGGCCCTCGCTGCAGGTGAAGTACGCCGCGACGATGCTGAAGAGTCGCCACCCTCGTTGGCAGCTATCGGCGTTCAGGCTCTTGTTATTCGTCGTCTGCTTCATCAGCTGACAGTAGACCTCGTCCCGCAAGGGCTCGTACTCGTGACAATGCTGGACAGACGGACGAGTGAAATGAAAATCCAGAAAATTAACGTACTGCCAAAAAAATGAATAAGAAATCACGGAATATTACATTTCGTTCGAGTAAAAGTTTAGTAACGCGGTAAATATAGGTGTTAGGTGGGTTTATATGTCTTGCAATTTCTAATTATTACGCTTTACGATTTACATGTTACAAAAAAATTTCGCAATATTACATTTAATTCAAGTAAAAGTTTAGTAACACGGTGAATATGCAATGTTAGGTGGATTTATGTATGTTTTCTTCTTTCTAATTTCTAATTATTACGCTTTACGATTTATATATTAGAAAAAATCATGCAATATTACATTTAATACAAGTAAAAGCTTATTAACACGGTGAATATACTATGTTAGGTGGGTTTATATGTCTTGCAATTTCTAATTATTACGCTTTACGATTTACATATTTTTTTTTACATATTGCAAAGATTCTTTACATATTGCAAAGAAATCACGCAATATTACATTTAATTCAAGTAAAAGCTTATTAACACGGTAAATATGCAATGTTAGGTGGATTTATGTATGTTTTCTTCTTTCTAATTTCTAATTATTACGCTTTACGATTTACATATTAGAAAAAATCACGCAATATTACATTTAATACAAGTAAAAGCTTATTAACACGGTGAATATACTATGTTAGGTGGGTTTATATGTCTTGCAATTTGTAATTATTACGCTTTACGATTTATATATTACAACAAAATCAGGCAAAATTACATTTAATTAAAGTTAAAACTTAGTAACACGGTAAATATGCAATGTTAGGTGGATTTATATACCTTCCAATTTCTAATAATTACGCTTCACGATTTTCTATATGAAACCTCAGGTCATGAGGTATGTAAAAACCAATCTTCCAATTTCTAATTATTACGCTTTACGATTTACATATTACAAAAAAGTCATGCAACATTACACTTAATTCAAGGTTTTATTTAGTTGTTTAGTAACACGGTAAATATGCAATGTTAGGTCGATTTATATACCTTCCAATTTCTAATAATTACGCTTCACGATTTTCTATATGAAACCTCAGGCCATGAGGTATGTAAAAACCAATTGTAAATTGACATTGAGCTTTATCACGGGCTCACCATGAGGATCGTGTAGACGCAGTTGACCTCGCTCATGTCCACGGGAAGAGGTTGGTCCCCCATGTACCTCATGAGGCAGAGGAAGCACTCGACGGCCAGGGTGCTGAGCTCCACGTCGAGCCTGAGGAGACTCTGCTCAATGGGTACCGCCGAGTACTTGACGAGGTCCACTTGTTCCTTCCAGGTCCACTCGGCGCCATCGCTGACCTGGCCCTTGCCCTTCTTGCTCTTCTTCTTGCTCTTCAGCGACTCGATCACCTTCAGGGATCCGCTGATGGATCCATCGGCGGTCTTCAGCATCTCGAACCTGAAGAAAAAATTTCCGGATATCCTCAAACCGATCTCCCCGAATCCCCTGAACCTCTTCAAACTTCAAGGCTTATCTCTGTCCCCTGATAACCGATAAAACAAAAAAGGGGAACCCGACACTTCGCGCCACAGCGGTACCGGACACAATGCGAAGAGGTACTCGAAGAGGAGTCGAGTAACTCCGATTGCGATGATACCCGATAACCCGGGTGCGTTATGCTTTCTCAACACGGCTCTCTCATGTAACCGAGGCTTGCATAAGCCCGAGGTAATTACGTCCCCCCGATAGCGATTAAGGGGTTATACCACTTTGAAATTTTCCAAAAATCCAAAAAATTTTCACGCGTTTTCTTTTTAAACTGCATTTTAAAAATCGTTGGGCACTCTAGCTCCGCCAATTTTCAATCGATCGTCTTGATTCTTTTTTTATTTTATTCGCGATATGTTTATCTAGCGAAATACGTATGGTTTTTTCAATGTATCGATATTCGCGCTTTTGTATGCAACATTAATTAATGAAATTTAGGGCAAAATACGTATCTTTCCTTTCAAATCGATGCCATTTTGTGAAAAATGCATATTTTTGAAAACGCTACCTTTGGGCTGCAGAAACTAATTCTTTTTCGTTAATTGATCTAGCTTAAACCTGGGCTGAGTTATCGTGCCCACCGCACGATCATCGATTTTCGCAACGCCCCGGTAAATTGCCTTTCAAGCCGCCATTTTGCAAATAAAAAAATACAAAAAAAAAATATATTCTGTTGTTTAATAGTAGTATAATACCTTACTGTACTTTAATTTGGATAAAAACGTTTTAATTCTTAAACAAAAATTCTTGAAAAACCATAACCGGTCAAAGTGGTGTAACCCCTTGAGCGGACGCAACGAGTCGCCCAGGAGGCGCGAAGATCAACCCCATTGATTTTTATCGGGGATTTATTCCAAATATAGATCCCTCATGTATATCCAGGAAGTCGTACTTCTCGGTGCTCTGGCGGAAGTTCAACATCGCGTACTGTAGCAGGGAGTGTTTCCCGTCGTTAAGGACAGGCCCCGCCTCGTAGAGGACCTCTTCGTGGGCCTTGGGACCGTCCTCGGGGCGCCAGTCCTGGTGGTGCTGGTTCTGGCTCTGGTTTTGCTGGTTCTTCTTATGGTGCCCTATCCCATTGGTCTGACCGACAATCCCATGGTTCGGGATTCTGCTGGTCGGCGAGAGGTTCTCCCGGTTGTTCTCCCGGTTGTTCTGGTTGGTCTGGTGGTTGCCCTGGTTCTGGTGCACCCCCGGTGGGTTCTGGCTCGCCTGGTTTTGGATGGACTTGGTCATCTGCGCGACGTGGTTCTCCTGGTGCTCCCTCTTGTGGCCGGGCTTCTGCTCCACCTGCACCCCGGAGAAAGGAAAGAAATTAGAAAACCTCGATTCGGGGGACGGCCATTTTCTTCCCGATTTATCAATCGACAGGCCTCATCGATTTTCGATCAAGGATGCTCCCGAACGGGTCGGAGCCATTAGCCTCGACTTTCTACACGTCGGGAATTTCTCCCGTCAGGAGACCTAACTCATCGAGGAGAGATCCGGGGACGGGTTCTCTCAAAAGCTGTTCCGCGGGTTCGCCGCGATAACGCTGATAAAATGGTTCGATCAGCTGGTAGGCAAAAAATCCAGGAAAAATCAGAAAAATACAAACTCCGCTATATTTTCCGTTTTCCCGGCTACGCGTTTCTCTATACTAT